AAAGGTCAAATTTCATACATTTTCATGGAATTTTAGCAGTGGATTAAAAAAAATGCATGAAAGGCTTTGATTTCACCTAACAATCTTGTCATCATCAGTAACAGAGAAAATGCAATTATAATTCAGATGACAGTGGTATGGGAGAGGGGATGTACTGATCTTTGGCTGTGTGCTATTAAGAGGAATGTGTTGGTGTTAGAAAGATAAACAGCCATGATTCAGAACGTGTATTTAAAGTTAGGATAAAGGTTTCAGATTTTCAGAATCTTTACTAACTAACTTGTGATATCAAAGAGGGAACACAGTAGGACACTGAAAAACTACAGCCTGTGCTTTCATGTACTACTAGCTTCACATTTTTAATTTTAAGCACAGCAACAACAAAACAATCCTAATGCTAAGCTTACCTCCAGAGACTTCATCTGAGTTGAATTCTGAATTACACCAGGCCACAGTGCTGTGGAGTGAAATGTTCATAGCACTGTCCCTTTGTCAGCAGGATCCCCTGAGCTCATTAAATGCACCCAGACACAATGTTCCTTGGGCAACCACTTATTGAAAGTCATTACAGAAACCACAGTGGTCCACATGAAATCTGGGGCTTTATTTTTATATTCACCTAGCACGGGAGATTTCTTTGGCCTTATAAGCATTCAGCATAAATATGAATAGCATGGAAGACATGAGGGAGTAAGCGAAGTTCTATTTTCAAATGAAGGAACAAGCAGAAAGGTTAAGTTTCTTACTCAAGGTCACATAGAAATAGCTCAGAGAGCAGTTCAGGAATGAGTTCAGATTGCCTGAATTCCAGTCCATGGCTAAAACTGTAAGAACTAAAGAGTTTTCCCCACATATTAACCTAATCAAAACATCATATAGCAGAAGAAAGTAGTCAAAAGCAAACCAAAATCTAGTCCCAGTGGAGTGACTCTGGCAAATGAGAATTGAAGCAGATCTGGAATGTCAAAGACTTCTGGCTGTCAATGTATCAAGATAAAAAATAAATTAGAGTAGGCAGTTTCTCCATGAATTATCTGTAATGAAACAGCCAAAGCCCTGAACCATTCTGCCCTGAATGTCTTTACCAACCTTTTCTTCAGCAAAGACATATGAGCAATCAGATAAAACAAGTTTGAAAGCCGTTGTGCTGAACAGAGTTGTTCTGGAAGCTGCTGCTTTCAGTGTCTCTGCTGAAACAGTGCAGCAAGAAACACAAATGTCTGATGTTCATACCAATAAGTGAAATGTAGAAATAACAACTAGGTTTGTGACAGCAAAGAGATCTTCATGACCATGTGATGGGGAAGACATGCAGAAATAACACTTGCTTAACAAAATTCCTCTGTTTTGTACAGTAGAGCAGGAAAATATGTCAGAGATGTTGGATTTAAGAATTTGACTGGAAAAGAATGTCTTTGTAGCATTTTGAGTGGATTTTTAAAAATCATTATTATTATTTTTTCCTGTGGAAAAGTAAAGCAAGGATTCAGTTTATGTAGGATGAAAAGCAACTGTAGATGAGTGCTATGGGTGAGAGGCACCAGCCTGATCTTGATCTGTGTACAGAGCGTTCAGAGGCCAGAGCAGGACAAAGGATTAACCTTTAAAGTGACAGCATTTTGAGGCAATGGGAAAATGCTTTTAGAGCACAGCGGTTTTCTCCCATTTTGCCAGTTAGTGACATAGACTCTGTCACTCTTCTGCTTTACTCAATGGAAATTTAAGAACAAAATTACCAGCTTAACTATGGTGCTCTGCTTATTAAATACTTCCACAATGCTTGTACAATGAGATACATGCTAATTATAAAAGGAAGCACTGATGCTTTCTGACTGCTGCCATACAGTAAGATTTTCACAATGATTGTATTCAGCCTAATATGTGAACTAACCTGGAGAAATCTTCACACTCTGTCATGATTAGAATGACAGTCCACAGGCCCAGCCTTGAGCATCACTGCAGACATAAGGGTATTCTACAAGAAACCCCTGTGCTGTGAATCCTGCCTGATTCCCACAGCTTAGTGAAAACATCCGTTTTCACTGCCACAATTTTCCTCCTCTCTCAGATATCTCTTTCTACTTCCTAAATGTAGTGATTTTTCAGGGCCTCCAGTGAGACTGCATCTAAAGTTTGAATCTCTTTTCAGACCCAGGTGGGATCTAGAAAGAATATAATACTTCATATCTCAAGCTGTGGTTCACCAACTTCTTATCTTTTACTTGTTTGTCACAGAATCATGGAATGCTTTGGGTTGGAAGGGACCCTAAACACCATCCAATTTCAACACCTTCCCATGGACAGGGAAACTTCTCACTAGACCAGGTTGGTCAAAGCCCCATCCAGCCTGGCCTTGAATACTTCCAGGGGTGGTGCATCCACAGCTTCTCCATGCCAGGGCCTCACCAGTCTCATAGTAAAGAATTCCTTCCTCATCTCTAATCTAAATCTCTCCTCTTTCAATTTAAAACTGTTAAGTGGAACATAAGCTTGAACAAAGAGAGTTGGGAAGCTGTGCTTTTTGTCAGATCTGAAGGCTTCAAACAAACCACTTCAGAAGGATACAGGAGATGCTAAGATGAAAAGGGTCCATAACATAAGCAAAGGTTTACATTTGTTTGTTTTATATCCTGAAAAATGTTGATTGTAACAAAAGACAAAGAGTCCCTACCAGCATCAAGCACTAAAAATATTGTCCATCACTCCAGGGGGTTGAATAGGACAATTTCTCCATATGACCTTGAGAATGACACATATGCACACACAGGAATATCTAGCCTTTTTCAGCATACCTGATGCCTTCTCTTCAGCAACAGTGGGTGACACAGATTGGCTGGATGGTAAACATCGTAGATTATACTGTACTGTACACTGTTACAATGCACAACTCAACAGAAAATGGCAACTTGTGTCTTGTTTGTAAAGGAAGGAAACTTTCACAGAGGTTGGACTAAACAAAGTCCACACTAATCAAGCTAAGCAAACTCCAGTGACCCCTTCCAGCTTCAGCAGTTCTGCAACTATGTTAATTTGATACTTGCTCTATGGCAGGATGGTTGTTCTTTTACTGACTCGTTTAACTTTCCTGGTGAGCGGTGTGATTTTTTTTACTGAAATAGTTTATTTGAGAAATAATTTAGTGTATATAAAAATATGTTCCTATGACTATAATTTATTCTCTCATATCATATAAGCACACAACTGAGCAAACTTTCATCTTTGTTGAATATTGCTTTTGTTGTAACATCAGCCCAAATGCATTGTCAGATTAGGTCAAATTCACCTCCAAAATTCTGCAAATTCTTTACATTGATAGAAGGAGCAGAAGGTCAGGATTCATCTGGCAGGGAAGTAATCACCAAGGCTGCAGGCTGATCAATACTGTTTCAGTGCTAAGAGCAATTCCTAAACTTCTCCTTATGAAATATCCCCCAAAACAGGTCCCATTTAGATTTCCACTGCAGCTGACTCACTTATCAAAATATGTTTTACATACTTCGTGATGCACAGCATGCATCCAAATTCTGATGAAAACTGAAACAGTATTATCAGAAAAGATCGTGACCAACTGAAAACACAGTACAATCCACAACAGACTTGTGTATAACAGAGTGTCAAGGACACTCTTACAAGATATGTGAGTTCAAACACTCAAAGCAGGAAATTTGTTCTGAGTTTACCACCGCGTGAGTTACTGCATCTCCCCCTATTGGTATAATTCCTTGACAGATTTGTGATTGATGTCTTAGGTTTCCCATCTCTTTCTCTCAATCTGTTGTAAGACTTTTCTGAGAATAGAAAGGCAGCAATAAACATTTCTGGGAGGAGAATATAAAAAACATCTTTCTTGGTTGCTTATATGCTTTTTGAAATAAAGTCTGAAAGCTCTGAATCTCATTTTGTACATCTTTTCTTCATCTTTAAACATAGAAATCAATAATGTATCCTGGTCAAATTATATGTTCAAACTGCTATGATGGCATCTGCAGTAGCTATGTTGTATGACTTTAACTACTAAAATAAGACCACCTTTTGGAGAAAACGAACATTCCAGTTGTAGAACTGCTTAAGGTTAGACAGAATTTATTACGTTATTGTCTCTGCAGATCAGGACACTTGTTTGCTGAGAAAATATCAATAATAGAATGCAAAAACCCTCACATATCCCTACAAAACTCAGCACCAGAGGTCATCCTCATTTCTCTGTCCTCGCTGCTGATGACATTGGTGATGACTATGGTGAGGGGTCAGAAGTAATTTCCATGAATACTCTAAAGTTCTAAAGGATATACGCTATCCCCCAGTGCAAAACCATAGTTGTTTTAGGATTTATTGTCCAGTTGCACATGACAAAGGGTAGAAGTTTATAGAAATCAAACTGGATTAGGGAAAAAGATATAATAATTATTTTGTGGAAGTTATCATTTGGGAGCCTACAATTAATCATAGATAAGGAAGTGGTAAGCAGAGAAAACAGGTGGAAAAAAACCTTTTCTTTTCTAAAGGCTCATAAATGGAGAGAGAAGTACTGTGGCATACGAAATTATGTTAGAGATATAACAGGAACACAGATTCCAGTCAGAGACTGAGTCAGCTTCACATCTGCAATCAATTTCAGACTCAGTGCTGATGACATCTTGAGATTTTACCCCCAAGCACCTAAACAGTATGCAGAGAATCATAAAATCCTTTTTTAAGGGATCCTTAAAAGTCATCTAGTTCAACTTCTCTGCAATGAACAGGGACACCTACAGCTAGGTGTTCTCAGAGCCTGGTCCAGTCTGACCTTGAACGTCTCCAAGGGTGGAGATACCAACTCTTTGGCCAACCTGCTCCAGTACCTCACCAGCCTTATTGTAATTTTATTTTTTTTTCCTTATATCTAGTATCTTCATCAGATACATAAGGAAGCTGTTTTTATCCTATACTCTATTCACCTTTCCACCACTTTAAAACTTCGGTTGGCATGACTCAGACTGAAATACATCCGTAGAGCCTACCTCTTCCAGTTGCACCAGAAAAGTGACATTGTGTCCTTGCTCAGCTGTCAGTTTGCCATCAGAGGTTATAATGCGAAGTCCCTGGGGAGCTTTGCCAGGACACTGCTGTGGTTTTGCTGTGTACTGCTCTCTCACACCATCCGTGCAGTTATTAGAAACAACTTTTCGGTACCTGCAAAGATAATGAGAGAAATTGTACAAGATGCTGACAGGGAGCACAACAGGGTTAATTGGGAACAGGGATACATTTCTGAGGTTTCTTTAGATTGGAGATTGGAAGAAAGCAGATTCTCAAATATGTTTTACGATTTTCCTCAGCCAAGTATTCCTCACATACCTAACGTAAGCAGTTAATAATGTTGTTAGTGACATGTAATATTTAGCACAGCTGTATACCACATACTACATACACTGCATAAAACATAGAATTCTATGACAATGTAGGTTATAAGTTAGATAATTATAAAGTTATAAATAATATCGTATATTTGTATAATTGTATTATATTATTACACTTTTAGGCAGTTAGACAGATTTTCTCATGTCTCAAAACCATTCCTTTGTCATCAGCAGTGAGATAACTGTAAAGATGTAAGCCTCCAGAACTTACAGTAATGATATAGTGGAAGAAGACAAATTATGCCTATCTTTGAATGTACAGAATTCCAAAACATCTTAGGTTCTTTTGTTTTAATCACTTGCATGAGAAATGCAGTTTGAGGTCAGTCTTTTTATACAAAATGCATCTTTTATTGATGTTCAAGAGAGCCGAAGAGCAATCAGCATTTGGACTAACTGCCCATAAATTACTTCTTTGTACATATATATCAGTTTCATCTCTTTCCTCTAATTTATTTCCCACCCTTTCTGGCTCATGTGATCCCAAATGATTTTAATAGGATTGCTTTCAGAGATTTAGTGGTCTGGCCTTTGCCTTACATTTTCCACTCGAGTTTCTTTAAGACATCATTTTTCATAGAAAGGTCTGGACCATATGTGATGGTGATCTGGAGAGCATTACTGTGCACCCCAGCAAATTCAAAAGTCCCAAGGACTTCACCCAGCTTCAAGTCACCAATGGTAAATGCTATCATCATTGGGTTGAAGTTCACTGTGAAGCGGCTGCTCTGGCTAAAATACTGTCTAGTGCACCACTTACCCAGTACTGTTGAGATAACTCTGTCCAAGGCTGCAGTCTTTTGACAAGGAAGATGGATTATACCAAAATGCTGGTAAGCACTGCCCGTTGCTGTGACGCTCATATCCATAATCACTGTTTGAACATTAGAAGAGAGTTACACACAAACATTTAAAAAAGAAAAAAGAAGAATTAACATAGGTATTAGCTCACACTGTCTACTACTGATACAAGTTGTGATTTTCCTCAGTATGTTTACTAGAGTTTCTGATTTTTTTACTGATGGAATAACGGATTTTTCATCTTACTTTAGCTTTTGTTATGCATAAAGTTACCTTGCATACCTCCCAGCACAAATGAGTAGAACTAGATCATTAAGATTCTTCCAGGCAGTTCATGAGCTACTGCTTTATCTGTTCTCCCTAGGCAGTCCAACAGTGTTTCTCTAGCTCATCTCTAAACCAAAATATGATAAAGGCCAGAGATCTTCACCTATTTCAACCACTGCTGTCACAGTTATCTCTTAGAAAACTGAAGCGCTGAACAGTTTGATATATTTGAAAATCATGTCACACAAGCTGTAGAGGAAAACCTACAGCTCCGAGGGAGCAGAGTAAAGGTATTAACAAAGGGTATTTGGTAATGGCTGTAATTTTCATTTCTATTTTGGTTAGCAAGTGGAAATGTTGAAAAAAAAAAAAAAAAAGTTTTAGACACAATAAATCAAGATGGAATCTTTTGCTCCAATTTGGGCTTAGCTATGACTAGGTTTGCTTCAGTTCCACAAAAAATAAACCACATTTTCAACTGTTTTTTGCTTTCAGATAAACACATAATAAATAATGTTCAATTATAAAACCTCTTTAACCAGTATTCTGTTTGCATGGTTTGGTTTTCTAGTCATTAAGTATTAAGGACTGTTTGGATAGAAAATCATTCTTATTCCTTTTACTGAGCTTTCTCCATACAGTATTACTGAGAAGCTAATGGGTCACCATTTCTAAGCATTGCCATCCAGAGGTTCACAGACACCATTCCAAAATTCCAGCTGCCATATGACCTTTAATCTTAGAATGGTACTTCTTAACTTTAGTAACTTTGTATCAAGTAGCCAAATGTTGAAACAAAAGAGGATTAGAATATTCTCAGATTATGTGATTAAAGGCTCACATCTGTATACATAAAGAAGAACGAAGAAAAACAGGAGACAAAAACCCTCAATAATATGGATGCAGCCAGTGGAATCCCTGACCTGGCTCCTCTAAGAACTGATCAAAAGACAACCATCAGCCCAAGGCGGTGCGGAGGCTCACCAGATAGACAACTGGAGAGGTGCTACTAACACTGCTTTGCAGACTGAGCAGGGTTACTGCACACAGAGGAATGGGATTCATTATGCCATGCCAAGGAATAGCATTTGTGGACTGTACAAAAGGGAAGAAAAAAATTGTACAAAATAAGGAGAAAAAAAGAACAGGCTTGTGTGTAAGCAGATTTTTTTTTTTTTTTTTTTGCCATACCCTTTGACTGTAGCATGCCCTGTCTTCTCCACTTCTAACTATTTTCCTTTCTGTTCTGTGAGCACATGTGTGTGTTAACATCTAAGTGTTAACAACGAGAGTTAGATCATGGCTCACAGGGAACTGAATCTATAGAATATCCTGAGTTGGAAGGGACTCACAAAGATCAAGTCCAACTCCTGGCTCCACATAGGACCACCATACTACTGAGAGCATGGATCAAACAATCCCTGAGCTCCAGCAGCTTGGGCCATGCCCACTGTACTCTGGTGCAGAACCTTTCCCTAACGCCCGCCTTACCCTTCCCTGACACAGCTCCATGCTGTTTCCTGGGGCACTATCACTGTGATCACAGAGCAGAGCTGAGTGCTGCCCCTCTGCTCACTGAGAGGAACTGTGGGCTGCCAGGAGGCCTCCCCTCAACCTCCTCTGCTCCGAGCTGAACAAACCCAAGGATCTCAACCACTCATAAGGTGGACATTGACAGGGCTTTTATCACAATTTTTTACCCATGCTTGTAACTTTTCAAGAAAATAAATGTTTTGATGTAATCTAAAAAGAGCAATTTAAAAGATGACATTAACAACAACAACAACAAAACAACTAATGCTACACATCATGTGGAAAAACTAAACACAGTGGACTGCACAACTGCTCCATAAGAACATTTTGGCAGCTGTGCTGCTTGGGATAGCTACAACAAGTAATTGAGAACATGCTCTAGGAAACAGCAATGAACTAGATGACCTAAATGGGTCTTTTCCTCAGTTTTTGTGATTGAATTTTCATGAATCTATTTACTCAGATGCTAGTGATTGAATGTTGCTTAATTGCTTTGGAAGCATTAGACAGCCTATTCTCCCATTGCCATGCGTTCCTCTAATCATCCTTGTTGGATTAAAAACACTATGGCTGTAGAAACACTTTATAATGAAGAATAACACCACTCTGATTTGCTTACAGAAAACAAATATTTGCACACAAGTGCGACTCCTGGATTTTTGTAATTCATTCGTCAACACTTTGCAGCACTGTATTCCTAAATTATCTTGTGTCACTCTAATTAAAAGGCTATAACACTCTACACACACAATGTTATGTAATCAGGTGAAAAGGAAACAGCAGTGAGATCTGCTGCAGAGGGGATCAGTATCTGTAGTCCAACTTAATGCAGCAGTATCCATCTGTGATTTCTTACTATACACATCTATACTCATGCTATAATTTTGTTTCCTGTTAGAACTCACAAATCTGGGCAACAGAAGCTTGACTTCACTAGGTTTGACTACACATGGATTTCTCAAACTCAAGAGAATGAAATAATAGGATTTTCCACAGCAAAAATAGTTCTAAGCACAGAAGTTTCACAGTGTCATTTTCAGGCTTGCAAATCGTCTGGCTCATTAAGGCCCTACAGAAATATAATCCCAGAAAATGACATGAATTGCTGTTCCGTATCTCTCTACAGATGCACCAGCCCCCCGTTCACCTCCGCAGTCTTGGAATTTAATGAATTCCTTGGCTACAGGCTGGTGCACGCAGAACACTGATGCTGACAACAAATTGCTGCCTACAATTTGGCACAACAGGCTTTGCAGCAATCAACAAGCATTAGCATCAATTGGATTGCCATAGCAAGAGCAAGCATAGCAAAATCTGGAAACAGGAAAGGCATCAGCTCCAGCCTGCAATCAGCTAGCCAAGTCACTGCCAGGTACCTGGGAATTGGAATTTGCATATATTGATGGCATTTTCTGCCTGTTTGAAAAGAACTCAGGTGAAATAGATAATGTACTTATCAAAATAAGAGCAGAACGTTTAACAGCAGGGCTTGTTTTATCAGCATGAAGCAGCCTACTATCTGTCTCTCACTGACAATGGTTTAAAATATGGACTGCTTTTACTGGTTTAAACAGGAATTGTATTTGCGTATTCAATTATTTCTTCTATTTACAAGTCTTCCTTTGCAATTAAAGATAGATTGAATCCAGAAATTCTATAACCCTGCTCCAAGCTCATGGTAAATTCCCTGATTTTGTGTTTGTGTACAAGTAACAATCAAAGAAAAGAAATCCCTTTTGAAAGTCTTTTGCTTGAAAACACACGTGACAAACATATTGTAATGGAAGAACTGTAGATCTACATGATATTATTGAAATCCCACTGTTTTAAGATAAGAAATTATCAGGTAAGTCAGAAAAGTTATTGCCACGTTCGTACTTTCTGAGACTGCAGAGATGACTTATAACATGAGCACAGGATTTCCTTAATTTTAACAGCTTCACCTTAAGGTCAACCATGCCAGAAACAGAAAAGATTACCCATAGTTTTACAGTCTCTGTTCTTCAAACTTTCCAGACCTTAAATAGGGTGGAATCAAGGTACCTATGATTAAAGTCACCTTTGATCTGTAGTTTCCAAAAGGTCCTGTAGAAATAATTAACTGTGGCCACAGATGTAGTAATGTCTTACTATCATTTTATTAACTTAATATTTTCTAGTACTAAACTACAGTATAAGAACAGATTTCTGTTTAAGGGAGTTCTACTTGCTTCACAGTATTCAGGACTCGAGCTGGAATTTGTCTAAGACAAGGATGGATTCAGCAACACTTCAGCAATGATGGATCTAGGAAGGCATATGATTATAACTGCACCAATGTTCAGAAGTACAGGTCATTCACGTTTATCTTAACAGAATATAAAACCCCCAAGTGTCATCCAGTAAATCTGTGCCTTGTAGATATTTAGGCCCCTACAGATGCAGAGATACATCTCAGACTTGAATCTGTATTTTTGATGACCATTCAAAATGAACTAAAATGAATTCAAAATCACTATTTGTCAGCTAATTATGCCCTCTTGAACGTTAAAACAAATTTAATTAACTTTAGGATGCAAATATATGTTCATTTCAGAACTGACACTTGCACGACTGCATGAACCAATGAGTGCTAAAACATGAAGCCATCACAGTCTGATCACATTCAGCATCTGCCTTCTGCCTCAATGCAGTTTGTCAAGACAGTTTCTCATGGCAGAGGACTGTGGTGTTTTAGCGTAAGAATTAAACCTAGCAGGCAGGTCTGTAATTTAAATGCTATCCGATAAAAAAGAAAGCCAGACAGATCCTCACTGATATCATCAGTGAGATAAATATGCCTGACTCTCAATTGCACTAAGGCTCCTTTGCACCATTTTAGCTATCTGAAATCACTAGCACCAGCATAAACAGGCTGCTGCTCCCCATGAAGGCATGAGATATAGGAACACGGATAGGAGAAGTGCTCAGTATTAACGGCAATGGGTGCAGAGGGACGACTGGCAGAGCAACACTTCACTCAAAGTTTCTATTAAAGGACTTGGGAGACAGGTAGCTGAAGAATGAGCACCACTGAAGATTTCCGTCCGTGTCTGGAAGGTGTTTCTACCAAAGAGATATTGCCGTAATAACATCCAAACAGCAGGAAGGAACACAATGGAAGGAAAGCAGCTAAATTAATGCTTTAATAACACACAAGTAACGGTGTCATCCATTTACCCAAATCAATTAAATGAAGAAGGACAATCTCGTTTCCAGGCCGTTGCTAGGACAGATTTGTTGAGGGTTTCTGCACACCTATTCCTGAAGCACCATTGCCCTCTGGCTGTGAGCTACAGCCCATGCAGGGAGCAGTACGGGTTTGGATCGAGGCCACAGGAAGAGACATCTTCTGTCAGAAGAGCTCAGATTCCCGAGGCCAGAGAATCTACAGTCATTTCTAATGCCACTCGTTTTTGTTGCTGTGTAAAGCAATAAGCAAATGTGCCCTTTTCTCTGAGAAAGAACCACAATGGACTGAATACAAATTTGAAAAGGACCTTGAACTCATGATATTACTAGGAGGAAAAAAAAACCAACAAAAAACAACAGACAATCTTTAAGTCTTTTATGACTGGCTTTTTTCTACTCTCTGAACTGATAAAACAACACACAGGTCTAAAAGCAATAATGCTCTTTGTTTGTTTGTTTGTCGTAACTTTATCATATGTATATGATTGATTTTATTCCAAGCTCTGACAAGCTTAGGTAATAAAATTTTCTCTTTACAATTTCAGTGTCCAAACTACACTGAATGAGGAAGGGATTGTTGTCTTCTTTCTTTCTGTATACGAACCTGTATCCTGCAACCATTACTGTTAATGCAAAAAGCTGCCTAGATTATGTTAAGATTGTAAACCCAAGTGCAGCCAGTACAGGGGCTCCTCCTTGCCTGAAGGATATGAGTTCCCTTAAACCAACTTCAATTCAGAGCCCTGATCAGCCTTAAAAAAAAAAAAAAAAAAAAAATCATTCAAAAGCACCATGGAATTGTCATAAATGAGGATGAGGAAAGAGCTGCTGCTTCTTGCAGGAAACCCCCTCCAGAGGACATCCTTTCACAGCAAGGCTTTATTGACTGATTTTCTTCCAAATTCCCCTTCAGCCCAGCTTACGCAGGGTGCTACATTAGTGAAGCCTAGTGAAGAGTTCAACGAGGCATGCACTGAATGCTATGGCACAGAAGCAAAGCTTTGACTTTGTTAACACAGTGAATCTGGGCTGAAAATTCAGTCAAGCCAGCAGAACTCTTTTCTTGCCATTTCTTTCCTCCCCTGTCTTCTTTTCTCTGTGGCTTTTCCAACATTCTCCGGAAAAATCTATGTAAGACCACAGTTCCTGACTGCATTAAGTAGATAAATAAGCGATGACTATTTGTGGTAAATATTTCTGAACTGGATGTTTTATTCTCTTTTTCCTCAGAGGCAGTGGAGAAGGAAGCTGAAATGGATAAACTCAAAATCCAGATCTGAGGACTACATGAATAACAGGAGCTCAGAGAGTATTGGGGAGGATCATGATATCCTACTCTAAAACAGAAGTGGTTTCACCAGAAGGAGGAATAACCTCCTAGGTCAGAAAGGCTTTTTAGCAGTCTGCTCAGCTCAGAGATTTGCAGTACTTTTAAGGATATTTTTCTCAGTCTACTTCTAACAAGAGGACTTTCAAAATTCTCCCCATTCCAGCAGATCCAAAAGGTCTCATACATCCCCAGCCATCCAAGTATTCTCAAGTTCTTTCACAACTCAGCAGACCTTTTGCAGAAAGTTTCTTCTAGGTGAATGTAAAAGAAATAAATACCTGTTTCCCCCCAGCAAGTATCACTGTGGTATTTTTGTTCTGCTACTAGCAACAAGCCTTTATAGCAGCAAATCACTCAATCAGTTTCAAAGAAATAAAAACTTATGTTCGCAGAGTGAGAAGTTCTGCAATGAAAATAGAGGTTTATCAGAAGTGTTTCATGACTGTGAAGCCCTTATGAGTTTAAGGGGCTTAACCACTAACAGACTAACAATGCATTAGTCAGTCTTCTAGAACCTGAGCATGTGGGTTGGTGACCCTGCCAACTCCTGTATTCTGGTAAGGTGGGCAGCACATCATTTTAGGCAGATCTCACACTATTTGTGTGCCCATTGCTCACCAGTCAAAGTCTGCATCCGTGCATACACATGGCTCTGAGGTCATACCCCCAGCATATTTTCCTTGCATGCATTTCTTCTCTGACTTGCGCTTCCTGTAGATCCTTTTTGCTCCCATGATGCAAGCTTCTCCCTGGAAACAAAACCAAAAATGTATTTCTCTTACACCCACTAGGCTGTTTGTAACACCCATTTTTTCAAGACCGTGCAATATTAAGGGCTATGACTCAAGGGAAGAGGATGGAAAGTCAAATACCATGTCAGTACAGTGGAGCTAATTAAAGTTATGGAAGCTTTAATTGAAATAAAGCAGCTTTTCCAATACACACGAAGAAATGATCAGGGGTTACCTATGAATCAGATTCAATTCTGAATTTGTTCCAAGCCTAATAAGTATTTGAGTCAGACTCGTTTCTTGTTTATAGATTAAGTTTCACAGCAACTGAAAACAGAGCCTGATCCCTCCACTCCGAGATGGAGTAGGTCTGTTCCGTTAGTTTAATCACTTTGGCAATAATTTTATTCAGTAGAAATTAGTAATATGTATATACCTAAATATTTTCCACACTTTCTAAGTTCATTTTGTCCAGGGTTTGATTTGTAATGTACTGGATGTTAACACTTCCTTGTTCTCTCACTATCTTGAACACCCTGCTACACATTTTTATCTAGGGAACGTGGCAAAGCCCTGTGAGTTCAAAGGAAAGCAAAGCAAAAGGCAAAAGTCCGCAGCTACCTTCCTAAAAATAGTTCTGCAAGCTCCAAAGCCAACATCTTCAAAGATATACTGCAAAATTCTTGGCATTTTTGCTTATGCAATCACAAGAAAGTAATGAATAAAAGAAAGTGGGATCTCACTTGTTACCTTTTGTGATGTTAAGATCACTGTGAGAAAAATAAACTTTTCAGACCTTTGATTTGCCCATGAAAAGAGAGAGGCCCAAATGGCACCTGGTGTAAAATGCTGTGAATTTTTGAATCTCAGCATCTAAGTCATAATTGGTATTTTTAGTGTGGCATTGTGCCTTGGTGAGCAGCTAGTAGAGCTACTTTCATTTCATATCCATTATTAAATTCTTGCCCAGCATGATATTGCCCCGCAAGACAACATTTGATGATACAAACGGGTGTACCTCTTTAGATTGCAGCAAAAACTGTAGTGTTTATGTGACCACAGAATTCGGGCTATATTTTGTTCCAACCTGATAAAACACAGGCTGCCATGCCAAACTTAGTAGAACCTGTAAAATGCCCCTCAACCACAGAAATGAGCACACTGACTCGCTGGACACCTGAGATAATTTCAAGAATTATGCAGTCCTGCATCACGTGTGCCAGGAACAGGACACAGGGGGCTGAACAGAAGAGTGGATAAACTGTCTGGTTCCCACAACAGATGTACCACAGCTGAGAGAGGCAGAGCAATATGAAAATGAGTGAATAAGACATGAGGGTGAGAGGACAGAACTTGGGGAAACAAGCGTGAGAGAGCTAGAAGGGCCTAAAGGCTCTGGTTCTGAGGACACAGAGGAATAGAAGAGAAAAGAGGTAAGGATGAGAGAACTGCATGGGAATTCTAAGAGAAGGATTTCAGGCCTATTTCAGCAGCAGCAATTCTGCTGCAGTTGCATCCCCCTGCTGGAAGGTAAGAGTCTTAACTAATTGCCTGCACAGAGCCTCAAACCTCTGCACCTTTTATAACACAGAGTCTTACTCATTAATTAGAGAACAAGCCAAGACAGCTGTTCATCCTTCAGGGCTCACAGGGTGCAATCTGCAGCCAACACATCTATGTTAAGAGAAAAATAAAACATCCAGTAAAGGACAATCAGGTACATAAGGCAAACAGAAAAACACAGCTGCCTCTCTGCTGATCCTTATCTGTAGGATCAGTAGTTGCCTCAGGTCAGATCCCAGGCTCCTTGCTTCTCACCTGACTGTGGAGTTGCCAAGTCCAGTAGTCCTCTTCTGCACATCTCCGATCAAAAATGGACTTGTAATCAATTTTCACCAGCTGCCACTCTGAGCGGTGGCTGAAATGTCCAAACACTCTACAGAATACAGCAGAAAGTGCATACAGTAAAAGCTAACACCAGGTGGAGTATTGTAGTTACAGCAGAGATTATTTTCTAGCAAAGATTAATTGCTGCAGGATTCTCAGTCCTATTAGTTTTCACTTCACTGACACAGTGGAAGTGAGACTTAGACTCCTAAATACCTACAAACCTTCTACAATGCACACAGCTTTTATTCTGTGAATTAATAATCCTTCCAGTAGCGCCACTGTGCAAACTGACCAGAGAAGACCTGACATGGGGATGGAGACAGTTATACCTACAAGAGTTTGTTATCTTTAATTATGAGCTTTGGGAATCATTTCCACAAGAATTAAAATCAGAACTTGAAGGTATTGTTCTCCATTCATCTCTATTAGCTCAGGTTAGTTTTCAAGCCAGATATTCTGTTTATTACAGGTCAGTTCATTTTTTATAGACAGAAAAATAACTTTCCTCTTCTTTTTACTAACCTGATATCAAGTAAAATGTCACAATTTCTGGCAGAGTGAATCTAGATTTATGCACAATGCAGTTCTCAGCATACCACATTGAAACTAATCACAATTTTTTGTGAGTCAGCCTCCAGGCAACATTTTGTCATTCAGTCTTACAAAAAAAAGTCTTCATTTTTCTGTTCCTCGGTTAAAAAATACAAAGTAGTAGCAAAAACACAGCTATAGAATACTCCATCATTTTTCTTTTAAATATTCATCTGTCAAGAGTAACTCTTCTTTAAATCACATTCAGTTTGAGGAGTTGAGTTTCATGCTGGTAAACTAAATGATGTGTTTGCAGCTTGCAAGGAATCTTATTGTCATTCCTTCAATAATATCACAAATAAACATCGATGATTTAGCAACAGAAGACTGCATGGACCTGGCTTCAGTTAGCACTCAGTTTGTTCACCAACCAGAAACTCTGTTGTGAACAATCCTCGTAAGGTTATTATGGTGTTGCTCCCGCTATTGTTCACATGATGGCATGCTCACTTACGTCATGATGAGAGTTTCCTCTCCAGGTTCCCCTAAAATTCCATCTACAAACAGTGGGAGTGATGTGAAACTGTACTTGCTCCAGGATTTCCCTTCATCAAAACTCAACCTGATAGAGAAAGCAGAATTAATATCTTCTTTCCTTATTCTCTCACTGTAATTGGAGGAATACTACAGCTGCTATGGAGAAGTAGAAGGTAGCTTCTGTTCTTGAATATTGAATTTTTAGCCCTTGGAATATCTAATTTTGGTGGCAACATTATTAATCAGAGCATTGATCAAGCTTTCTGGCACTATACTGCTAAGCCAAGGCCAGTACTTAAGTGGCAGAAACTAATAAAGATACCTTAGAGGTTGATGCTTAAAGAACAAAATGTAGCCCAGCACTATGATTTTATTTAAAATACACAAATAATTTTGAGCAACTTAGTATTCGATTCCCAACCAAAGACATTTTAAGGAGGTGTGATTTTCAGATCACAAGAGCTTTGCTTCTTCTAACCAGCAGCTTTTCCCTGTGGTAGGTCTAAGCAAAAGCTTGGAACTGTTTCTCGTGACTTGGGTCTGAGTGGTTTAGATACTGATATGACTCTCACTGCAGTGGCAGTAAATCAATGCAAAACAGCAGAAAACTATATTCAACCTATCACATAAATTCAAAGATGCTAACTAGAAGAGACAATTTTGTCTTACTGGCTACAAAACCATGATGCTCTTCAACAAAATTCTTGCTCAGAAGTGCTGTCTGCCACGCAGAAGACAATTTCATCAATACTTTTGAAAACTAAGAATACTTGGGCAACTCAATAAGAGGCAAAAGCTATAATCCAAATCACATATTATATAAGTAACCAAACTCAAGAAGCCAAGTTTTAGTCAATCAGGAATTATGCTGATGGTGTTGATGGTATCTAAGATCTGGCCAAGCTGAAGCTATCTAAGCTGTAGTTGCCAGGATTTCTTAGCTTTATCTGAGTTAACATTTGTCAGTTTCTGAAATGATATTTTCTAGAAAATAATGGCTTCAGCCTGATTTCTTACTTTCTTACATTCGAAAGGAAGGATATGAGACTATCACATTTAGGACATTCGGAGTCATTACCAGAGATGTCTGATAGGCAGAGATGTGTGTTTTATGGCAACCAGTACTCCTCCTTGATCCAGATACAGAACGCTGTGCTCTTCCTCAAAGATCTGAAAAATGAAACATATATTTATATCTATTTTCTTTGGTATAAAGAAAATGTCATCGTTCTTTCAATAAGATCATGAAAGAGGGTAAGTACTTACTAAAGATGATACTGAATAGAGTAAGGCAACATGTATAGTTTCTGGTTTTTTTTATATATCTACCCTCTTGCTCCCACCTACCCCCAATCAGGTTCTTGAGAAGTATCTCTGCTTAGCAGAAAGTTAAAAACACTAATTTTTGCAAGGACCAACAATTTTCCTCCTTTCGATAACAGATTATTGTTCAAAGAAGAACATACTGTGCTTATATGTATCTACGAACACACCTAAGTGAGGTAGAAAGGAAATGAAGATTGCTCAAACACTGTAAAAAAAAAAAATTAATTTCCTGGAATATCTAAACATCTGCTCTCAAATTTTTTTGTAGCATGGTGAGTCTGGAAAAGCGACTCCTGTTTTCTGTAACATGATATGCCATCTATGAAATGGGAATAATATAACTTACTTTTTTTTTTGCAGATAAACACACTGCACGGTAGCAATGCTTTGTTACCAGATGGGATTCCACTAAATATTATTATCATTTAACTTCACCATCCAGTCCCATGCACAGTGAGGGAGAAGTAGAACACTGTAATTGTTAATTCTTGGGAAAGTATAATAATGGATGAAAGGAAGTAATCCTTCTGCTAGAGGGTTAAACTGAAGCCAAACTGAATAAAATTATAAAAATAATTTTCTGTTATATGATGCATAATGACATACACAATATTTTTCTTTGGGCACTTCTGTACCTCTCGGGAGGGAAAAGAAGCATTCCCTTTTGTGTAGATTTGCAAAAAGCTATTTTGAATCAAAAGAAAGAAAAATGAAACAACATTTTGAATATATCTTTTTGACAGTTCCCTACAATTACTCTCAAATCCTGTGATTCTGTCACGTACCTGTCTCCATGTGTTTCCAGCATCAGAAGAAACAAACATACTGATGTCACTGTCTGATAGTTCAGGGCCTATATTACCTGTAAGTAGAACATTAATTAGTGAAGAAAAATTTAAGAAACAGCAGAATTAGCAAATCAGGGAATTAAACATATTAATTAGTCTTTTGTAATTATGTAACATTTAGTCTTGGAAGGAAAAATAAAAGAAAGGGACAGAATTTCAGTTTGAAGAAAATACGTATCAAAAAAAAATCAACAACACTGTATACAGATCTATGCACCCTGTATGCATAAAAGAAATTCTCCGTTTTGAACCTAATGTTCTTGGTAATATAAGGTTAGACATCATCTCCTGCATTACTCCTGCAAGTAAGCCTCTGTAAAATCAGATGATACACAGAAGGTCCATGAAGACTTCCATCTGACAGCCTGCCCAACTGGTACTGTGACACCCCACAGGCCACTCCATATCCATATTCCATATCCATCACACATTGAGGATTTTCTCAGTGTTTGCACATCAAATACAGGCGGTCTTTAAATGTTTCATACCTGATGCTACAATAATGCTGGGGGCAGTGTCTCTGCTGGCAATGTTTCCTGAGGTATAGGGATTCTCTGAGACCTTCAGGTGAAGATGAAGGGAGCAATAGGGCTATGGAGAAAGGAGAGATTAAAGTGAAAAAGCAAACACAACACGAAGCATATGCTCCCATTTCTACAGGCCTTTGTGCATAGGATATTGCTTGGGCATAGGACATCAACAGTTACTATTAAGATAGCCGAATACTATTTCCTAACTACTGTATCAAACTACCCTCTGAAAGACAAGGCCACTTCTCTGCTTGTCTTGTGAGATTTTTGCTGTCTTTTCCCAATGCAAAACTTTCCCACTGGGAAACTGATTCTTTAGACTGCAACTCTCACAAGGATGAGATATTTGAGGCTGTACCCACAAAGGATGCAATGAAAACTGCAAGGGCAGGTAATGGTAAGCAGTACCTAGTTCCTCCAACTGTTGGCTGTCATGAGAAGCAAGCAAGATTACAGATATGCTGAAGTGACTCACCAGGAAGCAGTGCTCAAACTATCTCTGCAATATTGCCCTGTCAGCGTGGTGCTGAGTCACCACTTGTAAGCCATAAGAAACAACTTAATTCAGGGAGTGTCAGACCATTTCTTGACCCTGAATACTTCTGACATATGGCTCTGTTCTGCACTGTACAAGAAAGAAATATCAGGACTTGAAATTGTCAGTTTAACAGTTGTTTCATAAAATATTTCATCACCTCATCTTTATGTGACCTTTGAGATTTCAATACAAGTACGTTTGTACAAACCTTACCTATTTGTTATTGATTTTGTATCTCAGGTACTCAAATCAAACAGGAATGGTACAGAATAAATCAGCTCAGCAAGGAGGTAAGATGGACAAACAGGCAGATTCCCAAAGTTGCCATTATGACCTTCCAAATCTACAGTGAAATAATTTTTGAAAAAATCTGATAATTTTTGTTTTCTCTCAGGTTTTATTTTCAGTCTTTCCATTTCCAAACCTCAGGAAACAGGCTAAGGGAAAGGAAAGGGAAAAATACTGGCAAGGAAAGCTGAAGCAAACTCACCAAATTGAGGGGGACATCAGACAGTATGGGAATGCAAACACAGCAAAACATGCTTCAGCTAGCATGGCTTTCAGAGAAGCAGGATGCTATGCAGAAAGCCCTGTAGGCCCCAGGGAGGCAGGTCTCTCTCTTACATCATTTACCTAACTGCTAGGTGTCCAGCCTCATAAATTTTGTAGGCTTCCTCTGCAGTCACTGGAAGAAGACCACTGATATATCCCATCTTCAGGTAGGAGAAAATGAATATCATACTGTGGGTAACAATAACCACAAAAGCAGTTTTGGGATGGATTTTGTTTTTTGTTTCTTGTTTTTTTCTTTTCAAAGGTGAATGAGGATGGTAAGGATTGATGGATCTCTCATGTATATGTGAGACAGGAAAAAGGAATGCAGGGTGGTGCAGAAGGGAGCACAGCCTGCCAAGTGGAATGCACTGAGAAGTTAACTCCAAGTGACAGCCTTGTGAGGACAGCTGCTGGAGCAGCCTGGGGCGTGGAGAGGGAGTGGGAACCAAATTGAGCTGACGCACATTCAGAAGTGGGAAAGCATTAGGAGGGAATGAATTCTTCCCTTTTATTAGCCTAGATACAGAACATTTTTAAAACTAATGTGCTCCAAGTCCACCTCAGCATTTTCAAGACAATAGCTAATGGCAGCAATTCAGCCAATTCCCCCAGTCTGATCTTGCTAGACTCAGATTTTTGTATTACCAGAAACTTTCTTTCAAATTTGTAGCATTTCACACATACAGTAGATCGAAGTGGAATATATACATCAAATCTTAACTAGAACATAGAATCACAGAATGGCTTAGATTGGAAAATATCTCAATGATTATCCAACTCCCCATCATCTATTTCCAAGATTAAAAGATACGACATCCAAGAAGAGCAAGAGTGCTTCCAGTAGCATGACTTTTCACTGGTTGAAGTGCAGCACTGGGTAGAGACTTCAGTGACAACTAGCTGCACTGTTAAAAACAACTTTTCATTTCCAAACACTTTATATGTATAAAATCTATTCTATCCTGCAAGGAGGCCCAAAAGAATTCCCCATACCAATCATGTTCCATAGAGAAGCTAGCACTCCTTGTATGTCTGTACTGATAGCTCCTGGTCAGGAGTGGGGCTGAGTACTGCAACACAAGGATAATGCTAGACAATATCTAGAAGCCTAGAGGTAGTCACAGTATTTGCACACCTGCAGTTGCAAGGAGCAATTAAAAGAGAAAGCACTTCCATAAGGGATACTCAGAACACCTCACTTAGATGTTTAAATGACACTGTGGCAGATGGTGTGAATGTCTTCCCACTTATGAAAAATGGGTCTTTGTTCTGAAATCCTTATAATCCGTACAGACAAGACAACCAAAATTAAAGAGGGAATAAACAGATGTCTGCGGAAGAAAGGCACACAGAAAATAAATGACTTGCTCACGGTCAGATAGAAAATTGGAGATAGGCCTAAAAATTGAATCAAGATTCTCCTAAGATTCAGCCCAGTGTTTTAACAACAAGGCCAAACTCAAAAACTAATTGAATAACTCTCCTAGACAGTTGCCCATAACTTGCAAGTTAGAATTACTCAGTTAACTACTTCACAGCATGAGATAAGTATCAAACAAAATCAACGTCTTTGGGATATAACTTGGCAGTTATTTTATGAAGATTAAATGTATTCAGCCTAGAAAATATGGTACAAACAAGAAAAATAAAACCTCAGGCTTAGGGGGAATTTCATTGCTTTCCTCCATCCTCATTATTCAGACCAACCTTATAAAGAAACACAAATAAATTCTTTGACATGCTTTGAAAAGACCCCTTTGAAAAGTGCTTACTGTCAGTAGAGGGACAGCTCCATCTGGTTTGTGTTGTGTTTCAACCAGATTCTCTCTTAACCTCTTTAGCTGCCAACTTAGCTTCTACATACTTATTTCTGCATTAACACTCCCTTAATTGAGGCTGAAGTTTTAAGAACAGATGTACACAGGATAACATTCTGCTTTCAGGCTGGGACCATCCAGTAACTCTGGGAAAGGGCAGATCCCATTCTGCCAGAAGCTGAGATGTACATCTCTGTACACTGTGTTCCAAGCTGTAGCTGGGGACAATTATCCTGAAAGCCGTCAGTGTGAAAGCATTACTATCTATCCTGGAGTAACGATGGAAGCTAAGCCAGATTTACAAGACACTATTAGGAATTCACTTGGCTATACCATGGGATCAAGAAGGATCATGCCAAGGAACAGAAATATCTGGAGGGAAAAGGACCAACTGATACAAGGGAACGAAACTGCAGATGATGCAGACGTAGAGAGAGTGGGGCTTCAGAAGTGAGACAACCTTGTGAATTGTTTAAGTACTAAAACTATGTCATACAAATGAGGAACAGAATTGCCTCAGCAGGAAAAAATATATTTTCTCCATGGTTTTCCAAAGCAAAACACCTGTATGGATACCATACTTATTTCCAGGCATTTACAACTTCTAGATCATCTATCATCTATAGATTCATCTATATCCTTTCTTGCAAATTTAGAAGACAACCACCTGAGATCCTTTATTTCCAGCTGATAATTCCACTCTGCTACCATTCCACTAGTCTGTGGGAACCTACCTAAGTACAAAGAACACTGGCAAGATAATGAAAGAGGTCTCTTGTCTATTTCTGACTGAAATTAAAGGGAGAAACATCACAGGGATGTGACTTCTTTGGGAATAACAAATTCTCAGCTACACAGTTTAAGTCCATTGGGGATTTGCTTCTTCATGGGAAAAGAATAGAATTTACTTTGATTATTCCACCGCCTGCATGTTTTTCTTATTCTTCTTGTGTCTCTCTAGTTTCCTAAATATTACACTACCAACATGAAAATCTTGGGATTCTGACAAAACTATTAATTATTTGAAAAAATCAAGTATATTTCACAAAATATGTTCACTTGAGTTAAAACTAAGTTACAATCTATTTAAAAGACAAAGGTTTTTATACATACTCCCTTGCAAAAATTAAATTGTTTTATGTCTACGTAGTTCAGCAAATGCCATCTTTTAAGTTTTCATCTCACAGAAAGATTTAATTTAAAAATGCCCTAAGACACATTTTTTTAAAAGCTGGAAGAAGAAAACAAACCCAAACAAGTTTAGTCACATTCTGAGATAACTTTGCTTCTTGGCCACCAGTCCACCCTATTTATTTTGTTCCAAATTGGAGAGAAAATTAAAGGCTTGAATTTTCGCTCTATCAAAAAGATCAATTATTTAAACAGCTTCAAATATCAGGTTAGTTACAGCAAAAATGCATAGGTTTCAGTTCAGAGATTGGCACAGTATTCAGCTACGTACCAGAATAAACAAAAGGTAAAGCTGATTTGGATACTAACTTACAGCCTCAACATGAAAAACATCTCTTTTTTTCTTTTGATGGAAAATAGCATGCAGGTAGAGGACAATAGGAGGAAGAGCAGTCTAAGTAATGACCATGGAACTATGCTAGATTTTATTTTTTTTTTACTATAAAAGCTCTTGAAAATCTCCAAGGCTGCAGTTCAAAGTATTATCCCACTACAGAATAAGCTGAGAAGTATGTGGAGATCAAGCTAAGCTATCTGATTTGACAGAGAGCTCCAATTCTATCCACTCAGTGTTTCACTTTCTATTTTAGAAACCCTTTGCATTAATGACTATTAAAGATTTATCTATACGTTGACCTATATCAATTAGCACAGACAGATATACTAAATACACAGCTAGCTATACGTATATTTGCATGAATATGTCAATTCTAACTTTTGATCTCAAAATTAAAATACCAATAGAGGGTCAATAAAATGGCTTGAAAAAAACAGTTCTCTTTCTACTTGAACCTGTCTCAAGTTGTCAGGGCTCTTGCAAGTTCTGCAGTACAATAGCTCACTCCTCCCATCTAGTGTCCAGAGAACCAACTGCTCAAAAACAGCATCCAGCTTCACGTGCTGTTTAGGAGGAGACAATCAGTTGTGCAGAAGGAAGCTGATCCATGATGCTTCATTTTGTTCCAAAAATTAAATTAAACTAAATTAAATTACAATGCCAACTTCTTGCTACACCATCTGGCCGACCAAGTCTGATGTACCACAGTTTTAAAACGCAGTGTTCCTTCCATGAGTTATGCTGCATGGGGAGAGAGGTCCTCCCCTTCTGTTACCTGGCAGAAAAAGATTGTTCTGGGCTGTTGGTACCCCTCAAATCTCCCCAGATACTTACCAGGAGACAGTGAACAGGGTTTCCTTTCAGATCAGTGTCCGGAGCCTGCAACAAATTCCAGTCTCTCCCTTTATTGTAGGTGATGAAAGTTTTCACTTGGTTGTCAATCTTCTTGTTAGCCAAGAACATTCCCTTTATCCCTGCTACCTAGGAAAAATTGACATGGCTGAAAAATAAATCAAGCCCATACAGTTTCTCTGTATGTGACTTTCCTGCCCTGTTAAACCCAAAAAACATCTTCTGGTTGTATGAGTATGGTAGTTGTGGCAAGAAATGCCAAGGAGTACCACATGTGAAGAAGTGCAAGTGGAAGAAAAAGCCTGTATTTCAGAAGCAGGTAAGAATATGGTAAGACATCAATAGAATGAACTGTGAAGTGGCAGTTGTTCAACTGGGTAGACATCCTTTCCCTGAAAGTTTAAATATGCACAGGGCAATTATTTCTGTCTTGCATGCAGTAGCAGGAAAAAGCAGCAATTTTGACCTTGCAGAGAAAATGACAACATGCACACATATCTGTTCTTTAGTGCTTCTGTTCTCACACAGTCTGCTTAAGACATTCTATATAAGGATCTCAGTGTACTCTACAATTATCAGAGTTTCAATAGGGTAAGCTGGAGACCACAGAATGGCCAGGGTTGGAAGGGACCTCAAGGATCATGGATCTCCAACCCCCCTGCCACATGCAGTGCCACCAACCTCCCCATTTAATACTGCCCAGGGCCCCATTCAATCTGGCCTTGAACACCTCTAGGGACGGGGAATCCACAACCTCTCTGAGCAGCCCGTTCCAGCACCTCACCACTCTCTCTGTAAAGAACTTAACAGACAGGTAGATAGGACCAGCTTTGTTTTCAGAAGAAACTGAAGCACCAGTGACTCAGAAAGGCCTCCCAGAATGCTAGTTATAGAATGAGATCCTCATCTTTTTATTCTTCCCAGATTTTATCCAACAGCTTTACTCCATAGGTCTGCAGGAAAATTTTGGAAAGATGCTACACTGATGGATTCAAATTGGAATTGAGCCGAGAGTGCCTTAGTAGGAAGAAAAAAAGTCAACCTCAAACCAAAACTCACGTTGCAGAATGTTCCCATCTTCTTAGCACACTGAAAATCAATAGCCCAGTACCTACTGCTGCTTGCAAATGAATTTGTTAGGCTGTCGTTCTGTAATCTGAGCGCTACAATGAGAAGCGAAGGGAAATCGAGAGAAGGTGAGGGGAAACTCAGAAACTTTTTGTTTTTCATCAAATCTGTTCAATCATACACTCCATCTTTCCTTCTGCTGCAAAAGTGGTGCACAGAATCATCAATCAAGCCCTTTTGCTGACAGAGATTATTACATAAATAGCATCATGTGGCAAATGGTTACTCAGCAAATTCAGAATTTGTTCCAGCTCAACTGATTTAATTACATGGGTATATTTGGATGCTACTATTCCCAGTCAATAGGACCTTATTGCACTTCTAGTCACATGCCATGAGACTACTACTGTATAGCATACTGGTAGGTACAGCACATTGGTGTACTTATTCATCCTCATTAGTACTTTCCTCCCTGAGTAATGACACTGAATTTTATGTTAATAAAAACTTAGACATGATTTGCTATAATGGGCAATAGCCTTTAAATTAAGTAATTTAGTTATTTATTGTTGATTTAAATGTAAAAAAAATCATATTTTCCATGTCTGATCTGGATTGTTTTGATGCCCAAACTATTCAAGTTTTCTTTGTTCTGTGGTAGAAAGGCAGCCCAATGAGACAGGGTTTTTTCCTCTATCAGAGAAATTGAATGAATAGTCAGGGTTGGAAAAATAACATCATTCTGGCTTTCCTACTAGAGGTCAGTGCCTATAGCTCTATTTGTACTTTTCTTTGTTGTTGTCCTGAAATTGTTGTATTACGGAGTCCCTGTGAAATTCTGGCTATAAATGATTAAAAAAGCATTTTATATATGAGTTGATAAATATGTTCTGAAATCCTATGAATTTTTCTTTTTATGATTCTACTCCTAGGCTGAAACTCAAAATGCTTTCCAGAGAAAGCAAAGTGTAAGTAATGCTGTCAATCTGGGACAGCTCTATCTTCAAGAAACAACTGCACATAGTGTAAATGTTTGTGTGCTTTCTGTAGGAAGAGATGTGCCTGTTGCATATACACATCCACGTTGATCTGTCCATGCAGTCATAATAGAGATAGAGCTATGCAAGTAAGGGCTTGAACAGCAGTGTTCAGAAAAAATAAGCACTGTGTCTGTATTCCCAGGCTTTGTAGGCAATTCCCCCACCCTCACAAGCACTGCATGTAGATATAAACGCTGCCTATGCTTTTAGTGAAAGTTTTGAAAAAGATGCTCAAAACACATCCTTCATTCCCCATTACCCACTTCACACTTCAAACATTCAATTCCTCTCTGAAATACATACTGCTAAAAAATTAAGACCTGGATAGGAATGCATGCCATAACTATACAGGTACACCCCGCCACATTCACAGCAACTCTTTCTGCTAATGACTGCCATTCTGTCTTAAGTCACTGGTCGAATACAATAGTTTGCCTTCAGTTGTCCTTTACTTGAAACCCACCCTGAATCATGTCGAAGAGGCCAACTATTATCCACCTAGCATAGATTCTTACAGACAGGATTGTCTTGCTGCAGAACATTCCTACTAAAGAGCCAAGCAGAGCAATACCACATCATTTGGAGAGGTGCACTGATTAGAAAAAAGCGTACCCACTGGCCAGTGACATTCACTCTTTCCTTCTTCTAGGATATGATCTCTAGGGCAGTGCCCATGGAACTGCAGTCCAGTGTCCTATTGATGCACCAGCACTAGAAGGTGATAGAGCAAAGAGCTATTCTCATAGCCTACACGGTCCAACACGTAGAAAGAGAATTAGTGTCCCAGTGGTAATGGTCTCCTCATCCCCTACAAAGTCCAGCAGCAGACCCTGAAATAATTGTCTCCCAGTGAAAGAATCCTGGAGCATTCCTCCAGGAGAAGAGAAAGGAGAACATGATGAGGCACAAGGGAAGAACTTCTATTTTCTCATCAAGTCCAATGTAATTTCCCACTGAGCAGAACTGAAAAGATTTATTGCTGATGTAGAACCACATTAGGAATGTGCATACAGAAACACCTTCACCACAATGCAACCAGATAAACTTATTTTTTAATACCTAGTAAACATAAGCAGACACATACACATTAAACAGGCATTTTTCTGGCGTCTTCTCAAGTAATCCTTCTTTTCCATATAAACTGCTGTCAAAAAAGAAGGACTCATTTTGCAATTTCTTCACTTCCTTTTAATTTATCTATGGACTTTTTTTTTTCTTTTCTGATCTTCATCTCCATTTACCCCTGAAGCACTCATCACTTGCAATAACTCTGCTGGGAGAATCATGCTGGATGGCTTTCTGTTCCCTTCCAGCTAGAACATCAAATTGAAAGGAAGTTTTGTGCCAGGTTCAGTGTCAGTCAATATTCTTTCTATCTAGATAATCAGCAGATATGATGCTACAAGTCTGATTTCATCAGTTTCGATCCAGGTTACTGTGTAGTGTCAGTCTAATAAAACAAAACAAAAGGCTTTTCTCCCTCTACTGGGATGTAGGACACTTTTACATAATGAAGTGAAACCACTTCTGGAGCTGACAGTAATAAGAGGTAACAGCCTTTCCATGCACTGCCAGCATTGCAGAGAGATTAACAGTAAAAACTCCAAATGACTGGGAAATGACACTGCCCATCCTCCTACAATTCATCTGAATTTATGTACAGTGCTTGGGCTCTGTCTTGACAATTCAAGGTGGTTTCCAAGTAAAGGACAGCTGAAGGCAAACTATTCAGTAGAGCTAGTATTCAGTGATGGGAAATACAGGGAGCATTTCCATTTTTAAAGGAACTCAGAACTAGTTCATAGCCTTTGTTCTAAATGGTGATAAAGACCTCTGGAAGAGATCTGGAAAGAGAAGCAAACCCCAAATTAGCAACTCAGCACTGAATTTCTACTCAGCTATATCCAGAAGTAAGACTGCCATCAGGCCAAGAGAAGTACAAGGGCGTGTTACAAGCCCTATTCTCAGGATCAGTTGTCACAGAAGACAGTGTATATTAGCCTTCTTACAGGTGAGCTTAGACAGAATGTACTTGTTAGGATCAGGATAAAGAAAACATCAACATAAAGAAGGAAAGTATTCATGCTCATGGGATAGCTCAGGAGTCACTATCTAAAATTCCGTTCTCAGAATAGATCAAGCAGCAGAAGGCAACAAAATTGAAAACTACAATCTCTAATTCCTTCTATCACAAGAGCTTAGGCTTTCAGAAATGCAATGAAAATGGCAGAATTGCAGAATGATGCTGTTTATAAAGCTGGGAGCCTTCTGAACCAAAGACTGGAACAATGTGGGTCAGAGGCTTGATTCATTTGTGTCAGAAGGATTTTGGCTGAGAAAGTGTCTTGTTGGAATGTAAGAACTGGTCAGCTACTTCTTCCAATGCATATCTATCTACATAGACATGAGGTTTTCCTCACCTGAGAACCTACTGGAAAGCACAGTAGTAACTCTCTTCATACTACTAGGCTGGGACTAGTTTCAACACTTGTGCAGCCTGACTTGAACTTCTTGTGCTTGCACTGAGATCCTCGTTTAAAAGAAGGATAAAAATGTGTTTAGCTTTAGCTCTGCTATTTTCATACATTCTATGAGACTGATGTGTAAGAACACAATGGAACTGGATGTCACATGAGTTTGGAGGTAAGAATGAAATATTTAGAGTCATGACATACCTCATAGAGGTCAATCATCACATTCCCATCCAGCCCTTGACTACTCTTGACGTTTTCCAATGCCAGGGTGAAATACACCCCTCGGGTGTCAGAGATATACAGATTGTATGTGTCGTTCTGGTTCCACTCTTGAACAGCTGCGAACACCTGACTCTCATCTGTGCTGATAACATGCATGTCCTGAGGAAAGAAAGCAAATGCGTGTTACAAGAGGGAGCTCTGCTCTGTCATTTCCAAGGGCATCACGGTAACTGTGGAGGAGCAAAGGATATATTTTAGACTGGAGTTTAATTGAAAACTGTAGACAACATTTCTGTAAGTGGAGAATTCCATCCAGGAATATTTTACAGCAGCACTCTACTGCCAGTTTTCAAAGCAGTAATTAACTGATGAGGTGTTAATTGAACATTCACTTTGGCAACAGAGTGTTATACAGCAGCACTTTGCTTCCTCTACCAAAATTTTAATTAGTACTTGGTTTGAGGGAAGGGAGGTGATTTTTTTGTTTGCTTTATTTATTTATTTTGTGTTCAAGCAATACTACTTGTGATTGTAGAATCACAGATGTTAATAACACTTTAAAACATATTTTTTAAAGAAATTAAAAAATGAAGAAAAAAAATCAAGAACATCTGCCTCTTGCCTTCTAGCTCTCAGAAACCAAGTATGCTTGAGAACTGATGGAGGATCTAATTGGCAGCCAGTGTTGCTGTTGTTTGTTATTACTAATGACTGTGTCATCTATGAGTCAAAGCCATGGACCACTGTGATAAACACCCCTCCAGCAATATGACAGAGAGACAACCCTAATTCTCACTAGATGTAAGGAGCAAAACTATAGGTTGATCACACATGTTATGAGTGATGTTTTATTTTTCTTTACTTGCTCTGTGTTACAGTAGACAGGAAGTAATGAAATGAGTGCATAATTTAATAATAATAATAATAATAATAATAATAATAATAATAATAATAATCTCTTAAACCTGAACCTCTCTTTCAATGCCTGGAGAAATTATCCAGTGAAAAAAGCCACTGAGAGAGAGATAGTTATAATGAAATTCCAAGGCTCTATCTGCCCAGTACAGGAGGGCTGAGTTCCTCATGCCTTACAAATCCATGGAGATAGAACAAGAAATGCAGATTTCTTAGCAGCAGATGATTCCCCGAAGATTCAGCTCTATGCTTTGGGCAGTTATCCCTAAGTTATTTTGCATCCATGGATCTCAGCCAGGACTTTTGATGTATATGCAAAACTGGGACTCTATCAGAAAATATATTCTTTGGAAGTTGATGCTACTTCTTCCTCTGTTAATATAATAGTCTTTGACAATTTTCTTGCTGATTTGTAGGGGGGGAATAATAACTGCATATAGAGCCTTATGGTATAAATATGAAAAAATAATAGAGGGAAGAAATCTGGCTTATAAATTTCAAAGTGGATTCACTCTAAAGTTAAGATTCAGAAAGGTTGGTTGTTGACTCAGATCCAGATCTGTGCAGATGAATGTTCACCTGGTTTACCTGCATCTTTGTACTGGAGAAAAATGCATCCCAGAAGATGAGCTAGCTTTGTAGAGGAACAGATTGGGTTAAAATCTGAGGCAACCAGAAATGCAATATAAGTCCCACTGGCTTTGATTAATTGTGGTTGTGAACAGATATTCTCTCTGAGCTCCAGCTGTAATGGTAGAAGTAACTGCCACAGCTGTTTGTCAGAGGTTCTTCATTTCACACTATCGTCCTAGTTGATCTTCTGGTAGAGCTACATGAGTAAATGATCACCATGTGCTTCAGGCAGTTTCAGATGGCACAGCTGTACTTTCAAGCTCAAACTTTCAATGTTCATACACATGTTCATACACACAGATCTCTCTACTTAAAGGTAAAAAGATATTCTGATGAACATTGGGGAAAATTAAAGGCAATTTCACATATGTTTAAGAAGCAAATGAGTTAATCCATTCATTATGTTCTTCCTGAGTTTTGATAAGAACATGCTATAATCTCAAAGATTAGCATGTTCTTATCTTTGTCTTACATATACCATGTAAGAACACAGTGAGACTCAAGGAATTTAAGCCTAGACAAGCAGAGACTGAGAAAGAAATGGTATAATATGTGTATGTAAAAAGAAAACAAGTGTTCCAACCGATTGCTTTTGTGGATCAGTCAACTACTCAACATGGCCTTGTCTAGTAGACTCTGATATAAGGTAATGGCTTGACTGAAGGGATTCTGTACATGGGAATCCAACGTGTCTTTGAATAACATAAGGGATTTGTTAGTTTTCACATTGGTAAAAACAAAAATTTTCAGCATACTGAAACAGTTTTATTATCTGTCCTTTTTGACTTTCCAAAGACAAAATAAGAGCATGATTTCATGCATGCATTTGATTAGATGTCTACTCAAATGACTAAAGGCCAAGGCTCTTTGAATCACCGAACATCCTCCAGTTGTCCTTTTTAGCACTTGGTCAGGGAACTTTTCTTCCTGGCAATTTAATTAGCAGGGATGTGTAGGATGTGTGTTGCCTGTTTTATCCCATCAATTATTTCATTTGTCAGTTCTTTTTAAGGTTTGTATTTCAGGACTTTCTTGTGGTTTTGTGGTTTGATACCACAAAGACCTATTCCATCAGTATTTAGCCCAACACCAGATTAAGGACAAGCCTTTAAAGAGAAATTGCTTGGCTCAATCCTGTATTCAGAGATGTCTGCTCAGTAGATTGGTCTAAAATTGAGTGAATTTGAGCAATGTTTCTGTACATTCAAGGTGACTATCATGAGTGACAACACAGAGTGTATGACAGACACCAGCCTCACTGCAGAAATTAACAGATTTCAGTAAATACCATTCACAGGGCTTACACAACTTCATGTACAAGTTGTACATGTACATATGCTTGTACTGGAAAGAGTTTCAGGTTCATTCAGGCTTCTAATAGAACTGGTTACCAGAATATAAATTACAACAGCAAAAAAATCATAGATTTGATTTGCTATAGGCCATTCCTGCCTGAACAACAGTATCACCTGCCAAAGCTGCCTGCCATCACATCTCTCCAGATTAGGAGCAACATGCAGAGACAAAAAGTTTGACATTTCTATCTTCAATTCCAGTAGCGACTTAGTACTGTTTACCATACTTGGCCCCACTTTCTTAGCTGAAGGAGATAAAAGAGAATTTAGGCATAAAAGAAGCTGTTTGTTTCAATGCCTTTGAATAATATAGTGCTTTGTGCATTTTTAATAAAAGCAGCTATCTTGCTTTGATACCAAACTACCAGACAACCACAGATCTACTGTAGCTCCCTCCAAGCCAAACAGAGCTTTTCAGTCTTTGAAGACATTCCCAGTTTCTGACAAAGCGTCTTATCTCCTTAAATATCTGCTTTTTTCCTTGGGTCAAATAGCATGAACATATTGCTCCTATTCCTACTCTCTGAGAACACATGGGAATGTAATCACAGTAGATTTTTCTTGGTTCTCCAGACTTTTCATTGAGTTGGACAATTGGAGAAATAAGTGTATAAAAAAGGCAGACAACCAGCTCAAAGCAAGCAATCTTGCTACAGAAAATATGAATCAACTGTAAATTATTTTAATTTAGGTATTACAGTATCCATCCTAAAAATCCAATTCATTTGCTAAGGATTACTTGATATTACACCTGTTTAAACTGTAACTAAATTGACAGAGTAATTCCTTCCCACTTGCATAAGAAGTTTCAAACTGTGCTTTAGAGTAATATCTTCAAACATGCCTGCAGAATTTGGGGCACTCAGGATTTCAGGTCTCACAAAAAATCTGAAGTTTGTCTGGGACTGTAGAAAGAAGTATATTGGGAATTCAATCCACAAATCTATGCATCTTCTAGCAAAAAAAGTATTTTTCTTTTACTGAAGTCACATTTCATAGCCAGATCTCCTGTGTCACAGCCAAAAAGAGATCACAGCTTCTGGTAGGGTCCCCAGAATCCTAAGAACTTGGGTTTTCAGGTGATTCAAGCAAAACGCAACAGCAGAGTATATAAGGTATGGCACTGAAAACAATGGGTTTGAGCTGCTGTCTGGTTATATGATGAAGGTCACCTATCAAATCCACTCTAAACAGGTCTGTTGGAATGGGGAATCAAAGACAGCCAGCTGTGACAATAGCCAAATGATCCCCTTGAATATTTGCATTTACAAATAGTGATGTACTTTCAACTTTCAGGAACAAGCTGACTGGGCATTTTCTTTTTTCTCTTTTTGCATTCCCAAAAATTAACCAGGGATTGTCATTTTTCTTCAGATGCTAGATGTTACACAGAGTTCACAAGATCATTTGCTACCTTTGAACTTAGATTTCATTTAATCTTTTAATGCCTATAATGCCATTTTAATGCCTATAAAAAGAATGAAGAGAGTTTTTAAAAAAGATAAATATTTGTCTCTGTTAAGAAGCTGTTAGGACTTCAGCTGCAAAAAGGTGATTTTTCCAAAATAGAGCCAACATTTTATAATAGTGTTTAAAAAAAAAATCCAGCTTCAGAAGGCAGCAATAGCCTTTCAAGCTCCAATGCTAATTCACCATTGTTCTTAATTAGGGAGGATATGGAGCAGACACACAAAGCCATCCTTTTTCTTGATTCCCATTAAAATCTGCTAATGAGGCAAAACAGAAAAAAAAAAAAAGAATCACAGGGGATTTTACATCCCTCCTCCTGTCCCCTAGAAAAGGAAAGGGGAAAAGGGGGAAAAGGAGGAAGGGGAGGAAAAGGAATTCCTCCAAAATTTATTCAACTAACCATAAAGAAATTATAATTGACATAGGCTGTGGTAATCTGCCTGTATTTCATGCTGATGTTCTTGACAGAGCAATGTGGTGAACTTGAGTCTTTCTTGCTTGCAAATGCTCTCTTAATCAATGATGCTTTCACTCACTGCATCTCATCTTGTTGTTACTTGTATTGTTTTCAATTATTTCTGAACAAATAAAAAATCTGTAGGTACATATGGGCATTCCAGCAACAACTTACCTTGGGCAAGGAGTACTTTGGCAGCTTTATTGGTGTAAATGCATTCCTCCTATAAGAAACATAATAATGTGGTCTTCCACCTGATGTCACCTACAGGAAAAGCAGAAAATTTACCTTCAGCATTATTTGAAATGTTTTTTAATTAATGGTGAAAGCATCAAGCAAAACCTCCTAAGGCAAACATCACAGTGTTCATGGCAGTGGTTAAAAACTGCAGTCATGTTATGGGTGCTGAATAACTGCTGAGAGCGGCTGAAAAAGAGAGAGTAAGAGAAATGCCATTTTCTGCAATGAGAAACAAGGGCTAGAATTTCAGCTGAAAGTCTGGGGAAGGTGAAGCCTTGGCATCACTTGGACCATTATGTTCCCTGCTGATTCCTGCTCTCCCCTCAACACAAAACAACCTGTTCTGTGTTATTTGCACAGCTGCCATGTGAGTTATTAGTTGGAGCAGCTGATTGGCAGACATGATGCTTGATTTCCATTTCTGTCTTCACATTTAAGTGCCTAAATAGCAATACTGGGTTAAAGCAGCATGTGCTTTCATTTTCCACCACCTACTAATGAGGGGTTAAAAAACAGCTGACGATGTTAGTTACTGAAGCATAATCAATGTTTGTAAAGTACTTTGAAATCCATGGATGAACGATACTGAAGAACAAATATTCCAAGGGACTCTCCATGCAGAACTCTGTTTTAATTGCCTGCTACCTAGGCTTATCAAGCTGTTTTTTTTCCATAGTCCTTTGAAGTGCACTGCAGTAGTTTAAAATGGAAGACGCACAGAGGCTAAGATCATAACAGATAAAGTAAAAATAAGAACTACTTATTTTAAAGCCCTTCCCTTCCCTTTCCAGGAATTAATCAAAAGTTAGAGGAAGGAAGGCTAGAAGCATTGTTTCTGAGTGAGTGTGTGTTCGTAACAAAAACAGTGCTACAGAATAAATGAGCCCACTTTTCCTTATTCTCATGGTTTAGAAACAATTAATTCTCATTGCAAATGACTTGGTTGCAGAAAAGCCAGATGGAGATCAATGTAGGGAAGGCTGGGGAGGGCTTTCAGGCATTCCCTTATTCTTCCAGCCCTTCACTGTCTGGTGTGAGGTTATTCCTCCTCTAAAGAATAGTGTCTGCAATATGTCAAAGTCCAATATCAGATGCAGCATTTCATTTAGCAGTTCTGTGCTTTATTCCTTACAGATACATCCTGTATACAACCACTTGAAGAATGCTATTTTACACTTACCAGTTAACTGTGAATTCACCAACAATTAGGATCAAAGAAGAGATTGTTTCCAGGAATTAAAGTATTTTTATTTTGTATCTGTGTCAACCATTATTGACTGGCAAATACTATCTCTTTGACCTGTTAACGTTGGACAAAGTCCAACAGAGCCTCAGAGAGAAGGTTGTAAGACATTGCCTGTCCTCATTCTCCTTCCTCTACCATGCAGTCAGCACTGAAGTGAAACAAAGAAATCTTATAGCTCTAGGAAAACTGCGTAACAGTTTATAGACAGAAAGTTGAAAGCACCAAAATACAAAGGCTGTCAGAATTCAGATGATTTCCCCAGCACTGGTTTCAGATGGGGCAAAAGAATTAAATTCTATTTAGTGTGTAATAAAATCAGATCAGAACAGATAAGACATGAAAAGAGCAAAAACCAAGGAGTCAGTGATGAAGCAATGAATGAATTCAGATAGAAAGAGAAACTTCCCAGCTCCTGTTTCAGTCATGTCACATACGCACACATACAGCCATTCGGAAATTAGAGAGCAAGTCTGAACAGTGATGCATGCCCCTGTTTTCCTTACCTCATAAACATTTTGTTTACGCCTCAGACACATAAAGGCACAAAAGCTATTCTGGAACGTATGTTCCAGATTTATTTGTGGATGATTTAGATGGCTGTTTATGACTGAGTTCATTAACTGAAGATAATTAGCAATCAACTTATTCAATTTAAAATATCAATCCTTTCTCTTCCCTCCACCCCCAAGTATGACAGAATATTAACAGTCTGGAAAACCAGTTTAGTCCTAATGATTTCCAGTTCACCTCCATGCTCTCTGCAGTTCTGTTGTTATTTCTTGTCTTTTTCCACTGTTATTAAATGGACCCTGGCAGCAGACTAATGAAATGTACAGTAGTTCAGATCTGTTCTCCAGCTCTCACCTGAAAAACAGCTTGGCTAAGTATGTCTCATCTTCAGCCTTTTTTGTATAATCACAACTGAAGCATAACAATAAAGTCTGATTACTCCTTCTGTGGTTCTTCCCCTGACTCCCTCCTTCTCTTTTCTGTTTCTCTCTTGTGCTCTAAAAAAGTTTGCTCTACTGCCCTTGCAATGGAAGATGACTGACATGTCACTTCAAGCTGGGAGGTGAGAACACTAATCCGAGAGTGCTGATGAGACTGCAGGAGAGGCATAGAGGATTACTCCAGTACCCACGGTGGATGCTACAGGCAGGTACTCTAAGACCTTTCACTGACAAGATACTAGAGGTAGAAAAACTCTATTAGCATTGTAATGAGCTGCTACAATACATCCTGTGCCCTTGTTATGGATCTAGTCTTGTCTGATTAGTTGGGGGTTAATACATACGCACATGTTTGCAGAGGGAGGCAAGAGAAAATAACAAAATATAAAATAACAGAATAAATAAGAGGTTGCTCCGCACCTGAACAAAGACATAGTCATCCTGGACAATCAGGGAGTTATGGTCAATGTAGCCTGGAAAAGGTTTGTTTTGTGAGGCTTCACTGCAGTTCTGCATCTTACAGGTGATGTACTGGGCATCTGAAAAGAAGAGATAAAACCAAGACACGTGAAGTCATAAGCACAGTTTCCTCCTACTGTCAAAAAACTACTTGTTAAGCTTGCATTTTTTTTGCTTCCCAGCCACATATGACATAAAGCAATACCATCCACTCAACACAACATAACACTTTTGCCCTACACCCCTATTAAATCCACCTTTCATGGCTCTCCTTTAAGCTCCTTCCTTCCCCACCTAGATCAGTTTCCCATTATTTCTTTCATCCCACCCTAGATCAGACATCAGAGCTACATGATAATGGTGTAGCATTTACCATAGGGTACACCAGCTTCTCCAGTCACATCTAAATTTATTTAGAACACGGCTAAGGTCCAGAGAACATAAGTACAAGCACACTTGTAGAGGACACCTGCCCCACACTGTCACCACTGACTGAGAATCCTTTTCCTGGCACAATTTTGTACTTCCTACAGACCTTAAACTCTGCAGAATAGTGCAGAACATCACCTGCTTCAGAGATTTTACCTATTTCTCTGTTAACAATATAGGTAAATGCACTCTGGCAGACCTAGGCAATCACTCCTCTCCACTCTCCTGAAATTGGAGGTCTGAGCAGTTGTTTGTTTCATAGTAAATGGATTAAATGCAGCCCTAAAGCCATCTCATCCACTATTACTATTTGGGACTTCCTCATCTTCTTTTCTGGTGCACTGCAGGGTGCTCATCTCATAATCCATCACCTGAAGAAAAGGAATTTTAATTTCTTCATGGTGGTAATTTATCCCAGAATACAGAACCATATTCTCTGAATTCAATTTAGGCTCTTTCAGATCAATTAAGAAGTTGCACTTTGTTTAAGGACAGAACTGATTTACAGGAAGAAGGATTTTGGCATTTTAGCATTAGCATTGAAATGATAGAAACACTGCATGGCATTTAATCTTGGAACTACTTCTAATCTTTTTCCTTGTTGAAGCAGCACAGCCCCTTGTTTGATGTAATTACAGCCTTCTGATCAGAGAAGCAGCACTTTCAATGGTAAAAGAAATGGCTGGATTTTTACTATCTCATATTTAATCTTGTTTTTTAATTAAAATCTATCATTTGACATTTTTTTCCTTGTTTCTAAGGGCTGTTGACTTCTGCTTGAAATAGAAATGCAGGGTAACGAACCTTCAGGAAAGTTTGATGAGGAATGATTTTACCCCATTTGCAGAGTTCTTGGAATATATAAAGTGCTGAGTGTTATTAGTCACTGCAGTTTATAACATTTTATGCTTTTGCAGCTCACTGCAAAACATTAATTAATATAGCCCAGACAGCATTATCCAAGCGCATTTCCCTTTGCAAGGACATGCTTTTTTCCACATTAGCCACGAGAGGGCAGGGAGACACAGAAGTGTCAGTCTGCTCACTGCAGCAAACCAGCAAAGTTCCCTTTTCAGAAGTGCTCGGTCCTCTGTCCCCTCGCTGCAAGCAAGAAGGGGACTGATGGGGCTTACCCACCACCCTACAGTGCTGTGTGGTGCAGCACATCCTCTACCAGTCAGAAGACAGAACGGGCATCTCAGAACACACTGAAACAACCAATTCCCACTTCTGTTAACGGAATCCATTTTATCACAAAGGACAGCCCTTCACAGCTGACCCCACATTCTCTCTATTATAAGATCAGACTTCTGTTTCTCACCTTGCCTCTATTTTTTGTAATCCACCACCATTGTTTTCTTCTACAGGCACGCTATCTCTCTCAAAACACTAAAAGCAGTGTCATCTTGCATCCCATGCCAATGGGTTACCTGTCCCGCGAGCACACGGAGGTAGCAAGATGTGTGCTGCTGGGAGAGGCCATCAAAGAAGATTAAAGAATCTCCTCTACCAGAGATTTTAAAGAGCAGGACAGGCTGACATCTGTTAGAGGTGACTGAGGCTTTTTCAATTCTGTATTAATGGAAGAATTGGGACTGTGTCTATTTCTGCTGGGATCACCTGAGTCTGTGCAGCAGCAATTGTACCATTGATGAAGATTTACTAAGGCAATTCCTGTGAACTTTTACAGTGCAATTCTCCATGGCTTCAATTCTAAAATGCCAGTAATAACTACTAAAGGGCAGAGCTCTGAAATTCCTTAAGCTGATCTCCCAAACAGCCAAACCATGAGATGTGCACACCAAGAATATCCTACTCTGCTACAGGGAAGCAGAACGAAAGGTTTCTTGCAGTGTTTGGATCTCTCATTTTTCCTAAGGGAATTTTTGTTGTGCTCACATTAACTCAAGGATTTTGTTTCGATGTCTGATTCTCATGGACATTTTATGTGATTCCATTGGCAGAGCTTTGTAATTTAGCATTAATTAATGTCAATTAATGTATTCAGTTGCTAAGCTGTGGAATTAATTTCATTAGTTTTCCCGCACAGATGTTTTCCCTGCCATAGGTAATTAGGACATTATGCTTTTCATTTCCAGAACCCTCACCTCCAACAACAGCTTCTGTTTTTAATATACAACAACAGAGCCACACTGCGCCTGAAGAGAAGAATATAACAAATCCTAGCTCTTATCCTCCCCTGACACTTTGATTTAGACAGTTTTAGACACCTAGAGTAGGATTCCTCTCTGAAAATGGCAACTATTTCTAAAGAGGATGTAAAAACACAGTACACAAGAATGGAGGAGACGTCTTGTAAGGGAAACCTCTGACAAAATTAATCTGTGTCAGTGGTGAAACATGCTAACATGCAGTAGGAACTGAGAGCCAGAGGGTTCCTGTGCCATGAGTTGTTTCAGTCTTTTCTGTTTAGCTCAAGCTCCACACTAACATGTTCTCAAGGAAAGTATATTCCAGAAACACGTTCTTGGCTTAGCTGGTGGAGATGGAAGGTTGTTGGTGGCTACTGGAGGTTGGAAAGCCTCTACAAAAGTACAAAGAGGAGTATCAAATTCCTGCATGAAGCAGAGCAAGAATTTTTTCAGGACACTTTGTTCCAGAGTGTTATTTTGGATGACAAAATGTTGTCATTTGTATGAGCGTTATTTTGGTAAGGCTCAAGCCTTACCACTTACTTCTTTCCAATCTAAGCTTGTATGGATTTTTGGGGAAATTCTGATCACAAAGATAGTGAGAGGAAGAATTCACTGTACTACAGCAAACACATTCCTCCTACTTTTTATTTTCTTTTCTGAGGAATACGTGCTATTCTCTACAATCAAATCCACTAATGACAGATCAGGAGTTTATGTGAAGAGCATCCATGCAGTAGATGTCTAGTTTGTCTTCCAGACTTACTATGGACTACACCTTATTCATTACCGAGCAACAAACATTATTAATAATTTCTGCTTTTGAAGGATGACTGACATCCTTTAACTAATAAACCTTAAGAACATGGTAGTAACATATCTCAGCAAAGACCCAGGCCTGTAACCCATCTCCAGTGGTGACTAATAAGAGAAACCTTGAAAAGATTGTAAGAATTTGTCCACATACTTTGCATTTAAGGCAAACCTTCAGTGGGAATAAATACCACTGTTCAACTGTTCTCTCATACTATAATGTTCCCACTCCCTATTGCTCATGAAACACACAGAATGACTGTTCTTTATCTATTCCCACCTGAACTGAATGTTGATTTGTGAAACATTTATGATATGGGGATATATTCACAATTCTCCAGGTTTCTGCAACTGCAAAACAATTATCAGTAACGAAGATAAAATGATCCAGTCCATTTACTAACTGGCTCACAAATCTGATTTTGTCCTACTACTCCCTTTTCTTCCTTGCAAGTCAAAGTCAAGAGTCTTTCTTTGAATGGGTAAGTATATCATTTGCCACTTCTATCATGAGGATACAATTAGAGAAACTAACACATTTCATTCTCCAAGACAAATACTAATCATCAGCTGTGGTGGGAAAAATAAAATAAAATCATTGCACACGTTTAGGGTACTGAGAATTAATTCACCACCTCAGCTATATTAGAAAAGGCCTGTCAAACTAGGTTGCCAATTTTTTTTCCACTACAGTCCTTATTTTACTCTTCCTTGCAATGCTGTGAAAAGGTAAATTAAAGTCCTAGCACAGTTTTGTGATTCAGATACCACTGGCAAGATGCTCAGTCACTGCTGATCAGCAAGCAGAGCATGCCAGCTGACCCCAGGTGAGGTCTTAGTCTTGCCTGCACTCACAGCAGTTCCTAAATTAGCTTTTATTAAGAAAAGCTGCTATGAGAAAAGCAAAGGAAATATAACTTCTGAAATATCAGAAACTCTCTAATTCTTTGCAGAACATTAGGAACATATGCTATATATAATATAAAATTAAAAACTTTATACTCATAATAATTTGAAATTCATCTACATAAGCAAATGTGAGCCTCATACACTTGTTAATTTTCCATGGAAAATCTTAGGCATCCTTTAAGCCAGCTTTGCCTTTCTTTGGAGCGAGCCAATGGGTACACAGTTAATCTCCAAATGCCTTGTAGAAATCCATCCTTTAAATTCTCACCAACAGACTGGATTCCTTGATGGAGATCACTCGGAAAAAATTACATTCTCATGTCAATTAGCCTGAATCAGGCCTTACTGAGATACCTCTCCCTCTTCAAAACAGATAAAACCATGAATTAAGGATTCTTCTCAAAAACAACAAGCAATCGGACAAATAAAAAGTGTAGGATCAGTATGCCCTTAAGATTATACACCTCCTGAAAGCATTCAAATTGCATTTGAGCAAATATGGATTTAACTTCCACCAGTCACTCTGGCTGCTGACTATGGTGGTGAATACAACAAAGAGAAGCTTATCATGTTGTTAAGAACTGTGGGGGATTAAATGTCTTACTGGGGTGGTGACCTGAAACCAGGGAAAAAAAAAAATCACAATTCCTGCTGACTTTGACAGCATGGTCTGATCCTGTTCCAAAATCAAAGCAGAACACCAGGGACACCCAAGCATACAAATGGAAATGTGAGATAAGGTTCATTGGAACTTCTTCCAACTGAGAAAAAATCAGGTTTTCCTACTGTACTTTCAAGCCCAGCTTGACTAGGATCGGGCCTGAAGCCTTCAAAAAATTAACAGAATCATCTCTTCTTGATTCAGACATCTGAGAAGATAAAAATTTATCTGGTGCATTCCAAGATTTATACAACAGGTTTCAAAACACAAATGGCAATGACTAGCCCTGCTAATTTGCCTCCATCAATACAACTAAATCATACAGTCTGTACTCGGTTTGTTTAGTAATACCTGAAGCCCAATTTGATGAGATAATGTGTTCAGGATGAGCCCACATTTTTCTGGATCGTGAGAAAGAAGAAAATGAAGGAGAATGGGAGTGCAGGTACAACACTGCTAGCCAGATCCTCATCAAGTGTAAATCAATGTGCCACTAAAGTTACACTGATTTATGCCTGCTAAGAGACTCCTATTTTGGCTCTTGTAAACCTTTTACATTATGTATATAAATACAATAAATAAAATGCACAGACAAGCTGTAATCAGAGAGCAGAGTTAGAGAGTTATTGATATTCTAGCAGGGAAAGCCCAATACTAAGGTTGCTGCTGATAGATGTTCTCAGACAACCCTCTCACAAGGAGATGGGCTAACACTCTGCTGACATTTTCTCACCTACAGCTGTTCTTGTACCACTCAGCTTCTGCTGGAAAATGTGCCAGCACAAGAATGAGGCTGTTTTCCTATTTGAACTGAAGTAAACAGGTTTTTGTTCAGCCCTTATATTTCTACTGATTTGGTACTATAAGGCTCTAGTATACAAGAAAGGTGAATACATGAAATCTGTCATAGTAACTAGAGTAATTGACCATGTTCATACTCTCTCAGCCTGCTTCAAAGTCCTGTGACCTGCAATGCTAACAAATGTCTTCTGGCAAAAAATGCAGTGATATGTTCCAAGGTTACTGCTTCAAGCTGCCCACTCTAGACCTCTGCCAGCGACCTATGCTTTCCAGAAGAACTAACAAAACAGAGCATGCACTTACAGGATATCAAACATCTTATACTTCTGATGAGCTGGGAACCTCTTGACTCATGAGCAGAAATTTCAGCCCAATTTGCAAGGGAGGTCACCAAAGGCTGAAAGTTGGAAGCCACAGCTAGATTTATATTAGCAGTTTTCTCGTTGACTAAATAGAGAAATTTTAAGTTGTCCTGCCTACCAACTAAACCAAAATAAGTGCACCCAGATCAGTCACTTGAGCTTGGCTGATGAGCAATAACTTTAGTAATGTACCTGACCCCTCATCACAGACAGTTTCATCTACCTATGCTTTAGTTTCCACCCCAAGATCTATACTAACCATACTAATTTGTTAAGCAGTCAAGGAATCTTTTGTGGAATTGTGCTATAGCTGTGCAAAATGTTCTTACTGGAGGCTAAGAACTCAAATAACACTTTTCAAGGTATTTGCAGTGTGGCACCTTCTCTGCAAAGTGTGAGACAAACATCCCTCAAAAGCATCACTGGAATATAGCTCCTTAAACACTGATTAGAGTTGTTTGTCTAAATGACCTCAAATTCCAAAAGCCTCTGTAACAGCAATTTTTTTTTTTTCTGCTGAATAAGATGCTGTCCTATTAGAATATTTTATTCTCATTTAGCTTGTCATGACGAATAGAAAGCTTCATGTCCCCAGCCTTGCCACTGTGTTCAGGTAAGTGAAGCTGAGAGGAGAAATAATAACAGAGAACACAAATGATAAAAAAAATAGAGATAATAAATTCTTTCACTTTTACTAATCTTGCATATCCCAAAATGGAAAGAACTTTAAAACTTTATGATTTCTATCACAACTGTTTCTTTTAAAAATTCGCCTTCCAAAAAATTCTCTTTCATGCTGAATTTCAATGAATTAAAAAACTGATTACTTACAGTTACTTTTTCAGACAGTTTCTAAGTTTCCAATGAGAAACATACATTTTAAGTAACACCACCGAATTTGAGGGTACAATTCAGGGGAGAATTTGATCCTCTTTTAAAGGAATTAACTGACTGCATCATTAACGCTAACATATTGGAAATGGCACAAACCTGCTTGTTATGTTGCAGTAAAGTTGCTATTACAGAGGAAACAATATGAAATGACAATGACAGGGTTCATGGCAGCCCGGCTTTTAGCGTGATGCCTGAGGCAGTCCAGTGCTGTGGAAAAGAAATCCATGGAGAAAGGTCTGCAAAGGCAGGGGAGCTGAAAGAAAAAGCTTGAGGAAGCATGGGATAGAGGAGGAAAGGACAGAAGGTGGCTTGAGGTGCCTAGGAGAATTCATAGCCAATTAGGAGAACAATCTGGCATTGCAGGTAAAGGCAGTTGCTAGAATGGAGAAAAGCACTTTGAGAGGCAAAGCAAAGAGAGAACAGCTGATGAAAGTGAAGGACAATGACAAGTAGTAACAGTGAATAATACATTTAGGTTGGTAAAAGGCTTCTAATGCAAGAGAAATGAGGTGCTTTCAAAGGCAGTACCTAAGGCAGAGTATCCCTGGTCAATTGAAATGGTTCGGTAAAGCTGTGTTCAAGGCAATACTACGATGATTATTGTGTGAAACAAGAAGTAGATAGACTATGTGACACTGGAATCTCTCTTTCATAAACAAAAATCACACAGGAAAAAAAAAAAAAAAGAATTCTATTTCAATTACTTCTTATCACATATTCTTCCTTGCTATATTCTCAGCTTTTCACAGGCTCTTAATCCCAACTTTTTATCAACCTGGAAAGACTTCTCTTCTGACAGACATGCTTTAAACAAGTGAACCATTAAAAACTCAGATCTCCATCATGGTGTATTTAGAAGCATTTAAGGGCAGTTTAGAATACCACTCTTTGGAAGATGAAGTACTTACGACCATCCACTGTCTTTGCTTCCAGGTGCACAAGATCTGGCTCTCTACCAGACACCATCATAGACCTGCAAGAGGCATATTGATTCAAATATGTTAAAACAAATACTTTGGGTGATATCTGAGACATTCATTTCACATGATTCTGTTCAGCTGGATCCATACTCACACTCTCAATTAAAAGCTGTTCATTTTAAAACAATTTTGGAGTTTCAGCTAAAATAAACTTGAGAATTTGAAAAACATTCAACTTTTCAGTGAATTGATACCATTACACTTATGGTGTACACTTACTCCTTTATTTTGATTCTATTCTCCATTTTTGGGACTTGTTTCTCTTTGCATTGGCATCTGACCTTCCGATGCATCCTCTGGTTTGTTTGGTAGGTTGTATTTCATCTCAGGGTGAGATACGGCATACTTGGATTGATGGGATAATAGTGTTTGCCAGCATACTAATTATAGCTGTTCCTTTATATTGGACATTTTATGCACACTTGCTTAATTGACACTCTTAATGATCAATATTCACACTCATTAATTAAGAAATTTTAAAAAACTCATTTCATTCTGAGACATTTTATCACTTCTGATCTAATAAAAACAATGTTCCATTAAAAAAAGAAATGTTAGATTGGCTCATAAAGTGACTGTTCACTCTGAATTAACAAGAAACAACAAAGACATTGAGCATTGCAAATAAGGAGTTTCTAAACTCAGGCTTTGCTTTCTTTACCAAGGTTCTTCTTGACCAGCACCACTCATCTTGACAACTTGCTGGTAGATGTACAAATGGTACAGTTCAAATGGCTACCACTTTGATGCACAGCCAGAATTTTTGCATTATTGGCTGCAAGTACGTAACAATTTCATCATAAAATGCCCTCAGCAGCAACTCTGAAAATCAGTCTTGTTTCTGGTCTTGTCCCTGTCAGCCAAGGGATCATCCTAGATTAAGGCTAAGGGTTAAACAGCCAGTTCTGTGTTAGCTGCTTGACCTCCAAGCTAATAGATGCATGAGGGAAGAGAAAGATCCATTTCCATTGACAGACAGAATTAGATGCTGCTCTGTTCAAAGCCTCATTATTTTTCAGGAAATCAAAAGTGAAATTCAAACAGTGATTTAAACCTTAATTCAGTTCCCACTGACTGCAATCAGAGGCAGCTCCAGCCCTTAATCATCATGCACATTAACCAATAACCATTATAAAAATGTTAACAATAACAAGAGTATTTGTGTCCTGATTAATCCTCAGCATCGCTGACAAAACGTGTAACAATTCTTTAGCTAGACAAGCTTTGGATTTTATTTTGTTTGGGTACTGGAAAGATTCAGAAAAGTCTCTGAGCCAGCAAGGATTTCACCTTCTTTTTATTTTCAAAAGTCCTTATGGCAAGGTCTTCTTCTCCTAAGCATTCAATCTATATTTAAATTCCCTACTTCTTGATGACTGACACAAGGTGGGTGGGAAAGAAGTACCTTCCTAGGGTATTTTTCCTTTACCTGCCATCATTAGAGAATTAGGGTAAAAATGCTAGAACTGCTGCTTACAAATTCAGTGCAGGATGGATCGATGCAGGTGAAAAACAGCCCTAAAAATAAAGCTTATAATTTGGCTTATCTCCTTTTTATCCTTGTTTATTTATTAGGCTTTAAGCACATCTGGAACTGGGCTATTCCAGAAAATACTGTTCAGCACTCCTCCTCCTGACCTAACAAAGCTCCAGTGGGGATGTGAACTCTTCAAGAAAAAAGGATTGTATTTCATGGACTTGAATACTTTGTCTCCTCAGAGACGTGCAACAGTGATATTCATTCAGCAAAGACCTTGTTGCCCTGATTAAACCCTGTGAACCTACAGTCAGGTGCTTCAAGAATTTCCTCCTCTTTTCTGACCCCAAGAAACACCTCTATTGCATCTTTTATTGTGAAGACAGCAAAAAAATGAATGAGATATGTCGCACTGACAGATGGAAAGTGATTGTCATTGCTGTTTCCACTTCTGAAATGAGCCATAATTTACATCAAACTCTTAAATGTCTTAACGGTAGTATATAAATATCTGAACCCACCAAGCCCAGAAAGTTAGAAGGCAACAGCATTAGTGACCTGCATACTACTTCACCTCATGCTAGGACAGCCAGAATTACGACTGCAGAAGCTTCAGCTTCAGGCAGAATTAAGTCATCAATTATTCCAAGGATGGACAGGACAAGGATGGCTAAAATATGACTCATGATAAACACTATTTTTTACTCAAGGGCTTCATTTTTTAATTTTGATGTTGCCTAGCCCCCTACAAATCAGAAGTAGAATGAGAGACTAAGAAGAAAGCCATGGCCCAGGGAAGCTACGGCAGTTTCTTAAGTCAAACAAGACGTGAGGTGGAGATAAGAATCATATCAAGGTCTCCATACCTGTTACCTGACAGAATACACACTCCATTGCTTTGCTATAACTGTCCTAATTTACTTGTGGCAACAAAAGGTCATACAGTCTGACCTATGCATGATAACATGGGCCTGACAATAATGATAACAAAGTATAATCAGTTGCAAAGAATAGCTGATTTACAAATACTTATCTTCTCAAGTCAGTGTTAGCTGTACAGGGTTGGCATCTGGGAACACATTACTCACATCTAGATTCTGCTGAGAGACTATTGTTCAGAAAATTGTAAATGTCACTTTTTCTCATATCATGCTGTCTTATACCATGGTAGTTCTATGATATTTCTCAATATATCCCTTTATTCTACCTGAAAAATTACATAAAGTAATATGCACCACACCCAGTTACACTGTACAGATCTCTGAGCTAGTCACACTCAAATGTACACAGTGAGGAAAAAGAGGCAGTTTTGCACAGTGGTTCACCTGAACTGTCTTAGGAGTTCATTTCACAAGAAGTCAAACTATCTCTGAATGGGTTGTTTCTTACTATTGAGTATAACATGTCTGGATACCTACATTACAGACATTCACATGATCAAATAAGTGACTCAAAAAAGATAATGAAGATAATGTGGCAGACCTGGAGCATGTTTATTAACTAAATTTTAAAAATCGAACTGGAGTGTAGCATGGGTTGTAAGTAAAGGGAACAGACAAAAAGGATCCTCGATAGGTGAGGATAAGAGACTTCTAAAAGCCTGAGTATCATTAAGTAATGGTGCTAAGCCCATGGCATAGGTATGAAACACAATGAATAAACTTCATTTATTATAAGGAAATTCCAGTCCTCATTGATGACTGGATATGAAAATTCTTCTACCAAAAATCACATGATCAATAAATACAAACTTACATGTGGAAAAAAAGAACTACATGCCCTGGATAACTCCAAAGCCTCAAAGTTGGGGTCTATAACTTGAGGTGAGTGCCCATTCTACTTCAGTATCTTTTGTCAGTACAATCAGGTCAACGTACATTTCACAAATTAAAGAAGGAAAAGTGCTGTGGATTTAACAGCCTATAAAACAAACACCCTGCAAAGAACATGGATACAGGTGAGCAACACTCTGCGATCAATCAGTTACTAATTTTCTTTCATATATTTCTCTGAAAATAAACAGCACAAACCTTGCCATGCCCTTTTCTGAGCATCTGCTTTTGTAGCTATGCTGGTAACACCTTGTTCTTTTTCAATTCTGTCCTTTTCTTTCAGCATCCATTTTCAGAGACCTATCAATCACACATACAGCCACAAACTTTTCTTCTCTTTTCTTTATGCTTTCATTTCATGATAAAATAATGGCATGCCCCTTGCTCATTCCTTTAATCCTTCCCGAAACTTCAGAATACCAGGGATATGCTAGCAACACCTTCTGCTGAGCAGTACCTATTGTATTTTTCCAATTATCTTTTTTAGTGTTTTGTTGGTATAACTGTCTGGATGTTTTGGGGAGGGCAGAAAAAGAGGAAAAAAAAAAAAGAAAAGAAAGAAAGAGAAAAGATTTAAAAAGCCAAAAGGAATGTAAGTTACCCCATTGTCTTTACAGAAGACTCTCACATTATGCAACATGTAATATACTCCCCCAGTCCTATTACAAAGTTGCTTCTGAAAATTTTAATTCCCTTCATGCTTGCTAAGTAGCCACCTGCTCTTGAAAGCTTCACAGATCAATACCAGTGTCTGTAGCACAGTAATTGCTCTGAATGCAGATTCTACATCCAACCATGAGAAGCAGCACAAGAAGACCCAGACTCATCTTCTGATGTAGAATGAGACTGAAAATAAAAAGCAGTCTGGCAGTGCACATGGCAGAGCAAATGCTAGCTGGCACACTTCTGTAGTGCCCTACCTTCTTGCCATCTTCTCTGTCTGACTTCTCACTAAAATCTTAGTTCCAAGGCCTACCAGATCTCGAGTCAAAGAAACTGCCTAGAGAGTTTGTGGTATCTCCTCCCTGGAAGTCTTCGAAAGCCATGTGGATGTGGTCCTGGGCAAACTGCTCTGGGTGGCCAAGCATTAGCAGATAATGGAACATAGGGACCCAGAGGTCCCTTCCAACCTAAACTATTCCATGATCCTATGAAATACAATAAAGACCTATTTATCCTGTATTTCCAATTCTTCTAGCTTTTTATTTACTTTAATTGGAAAAAGCAATTACTTACATATATTAAGAAAAGATAAAGCTTGTAAGGCCATCAGACCACTCAAAACTGCAGAAGGGCATCACTGTGAGGATAGCAAAAATTTCCACATGGGGTATTTTTAATTTCAAATTACCAATTTTCACAAACAAAGAACTCAAACTGGACTATATAGACTTTTAATCTCATGGACTTCTGTATCTTGAAAAGTAGCTTCAGATGCATATGATATTGGATGCTTGAGCTCGGACAGAGCCACATCATAACTGAGACAATATGCACAATAAATTTGATGGCAAAATTTTCATACATCATTCATATTAAAAATGCCCACAATAGCCAAGATCATTGGTAATTTAAGCTAAGCAATTTGAGACTTTTTCTTAGAAGCTGCAAAAAAGGAAGAAAAAAGGTCCAGAATGAAAGGCTAGAACAGAAATTCTATCACCTTTGCACAACCAGAACCACT